TGCAACCTGTGAGGTCTTGTCTTCTCATCAGGCATAAAACACGCAGCCTATGAGGTCTTGTCTTCTCATCAGGCATAAAACACGCAGCCTATGAGGTCTTAACTTCTCATCAGGCATAAAACACGCAACCTGTGAGGTCTTGTCTTCTCATCAGGCATAAAACACGCAGCCTGTGAGGTCTTGTCTTCTCATCAGGCATAAAACACGCAGCCTATGAGGTCTTAACTTCTCATCAGGCATAAAACACGCAGCCTGTGAGGTCTTGTCTTCTCATCAGGCATAAAACACGCAGCCTATGAGATCTTGTCTTCTCATCAGGCATAAAATACGCAGCCTGTGAGGTCTTGTCTTCTCATCAGGCATAAAACACGCAGCCTATGAGATCTTTGCTTGTCATCAGGCATAAACATGCAGGCTATGAGGCCTTCCTTGACCATCCTACGGTCTCAGCGCCATAGCGATATTAGCCAGAACTGCAACATGTACCGTTGGTGTGGTCACAGAGTTAGGCAAAACTTTAGCGACACCGTTAAGGCCGTCACAGAGTTAGGCAAAACTTTAGGGACACCGTTGGTGCGGTCACAGAGTTAGGCAAAACTTTAGGGACACCGTTGGGGGCGGTCACAGAGTTAGGCAGAACTAAGCGAGACCGTTAAAGTGGTCACAGAGTTAGGCAAAGCTGTAAGACCGTAGGATTTCTGCACAGAACAATTTCTGCACCTTTCTCTAGTATTGTGTAGCACTACTTTGTACCCGTACGGGGTTCGCCCATGAATACTGTGTTGTGCGGTCGGAACCATTTAAGTCTCACGAACATGCAAATGAGGTAATTTGTACCATTTAAATCTCACGAACATGCAAATGAGATAATTTTTATGAAGATCACGCCGTGTGGCGGTACACATGTCCATAAAACGTGACTCAAATGCTAAGTTATATATTGTGAAGTTTCTTCCGGTTTTTAAGAAGCCAACACGACCAATTGTACCGTGTCGGCATCAAACACAACCGGGCCACCATGTTTGTTCACATGTTGAATAATAAAAGTAGCGTGCCTTTCGTAGTAACATTCCCGAAAACGCCGCCGAAATTGCGCTTTCCTGTTATGATTTTTAGCTGAAATTGTGTTGTTACGATTATCGCTATTGTTGTAATTAATAAATGTTAGAGTATGAAATAGTCGTTCCCTTGAGTGCAAAACGTCCTGACGTCGACGAAACGTCAGGACGAAACCTGGCCGATGGACATGTGTAGCAGTGGCCTCTAGCGATTTGTTCCAAATTGCAGGGTCACATTTACCTGTGGCCGACGTAACTATGACGTAACTGTAGTAGTACACAACTTACAGTACAAGTATCAAAGCGCAAATCTACGCCGACTGAACACGCACCATAATTCAACTTTTACAGTCTCAAAACTGACGTATTCCTCTAACATTTACCACAGGTTCCATCTCGATGCCACGCACAGAACAATTTCTGCACCTTTCTCTAGTATTGTGAAGCACTACTTTGTACCCGTACGGGGTTCGCCCATGAATACTGTGTTGTGCGGTCAGAACCATTTGGGTCTCACGAACATGCAAATGAGGTAATTTGTACCATTTAAATCTCACGAACATGCAAATGAGATAATTTTTATGAAGATCACGCCGTGTGGCGCTGCACATGTCCATAAAACGTGACTCAAATGCTAAGTTATATATTGTGTAGTTTCTTCCGGTTCTTAAGAAGCCAACACGACCAATTCTACCGTGTCGCGCACCAAACACAACCGGGCCGCCGTGTTTATTCACATGTTGAATAGTAAATGAAGGGTGTCTTTCGTAGTAACATTCCCGAAAACGCCGCCGAAATTGCGGTTTCCTGTTATGATTTACCGTCCCATATTTTTAGCTGAAATTGTGTTGTTATGATTATGGCTTTTGTTAGAATTGATAAGTGTTAACTAGAGTATTGAAATAGTCGTTCCCTTGAGTGCAAAACGTCCTGACGTCGATGGACAGTGTAGCAGTGGCCTCTAGCGATTTGTCTCCAAACTACAGGGTCACATTTACCTGTGGCTGACGTAACTATGACGTAACTGTAGTAGTACACAACTTACAGTACAAGTATCAAAGCACAAATCTACGCCGACTGAACACGCACTATAATAATTCAACTTTTACAGTCTCAAAACTGACGTATTCCTCTAACATTTACCACAGGTTCCATCTCGATGCCACGCACAGAACAATGTCTGCACCTTCTCTAGTATTGTGCAGCACTACTTTGTACCCGTACGGGGTTCGCCCATGAATACTGTGTTGTACGGTCAGAACCATTTAAGTCTCACGAACATGCAAATGAGGTAATTTGTACCATTTAAATCTCACGAACATGCAAATGAGATAATTTTTATGAAGATCACGCCGTGTGGCGCTGCACATGTCCATAAAACGTGACTCAAATGCTAAGTTATATATTGTGTAGTTTCTTCCGGTTCTTAAGAAGCCATCACGACCAATTCTACCGTGTCGCGCACCAAACACAACCGGGCCGCCGTGTTTATTCACATGCTGAATAGTATATTTAGCGTGTCTTTCGTAGTAAACATTCCCGAAACCTGGCCGAAATTGCGGTTTCCTGTTATGGTTTACCGTCCCATGTTTTTAGCTGAAATTGTGTTGTTATGATTATGGCTTTTGTTAGAATTTATAATTGTTAGAGTATGAAATAGTCGTTCCCTTGAGTGCAAAACGTCCTGACGTCGGCGAAACGTCAGGACGAAACCTGGCCGATGGACAGTGTAGCAGTGGCCTTTAGCGATTTGTCTCTAAACTGCAGGGTCACATTTACCTGTGGCTGACGTAACTACGACGTACTGTACGTACTATAGTGCAGTTGCACACTGGCCTTTGTGATGAACATTTGTACAAAATACTAAATTAAGTCACTCACAGTAACATTTCCTGTTATGTTTCGCCGTCCCGTGTTTTTAGCTATTGTTTTGGTTATCGCTTTGGTTAGAATTGAGTTATGATTAGGGTTAGAGTTGGAAATGGGCGGTCTCTTGACTGCGAAGCGCCCTGACGTCGGTGAAACGTATTGACACTATGCGGCAGATGTACAGTGTAGCAGTGGACTCTGGCGATTTGTCTCCAAACTGTAGGGTCACATTTACCTGTGGCTGACGTATTAAATTACTCAATTCTACTTGTAGCTCTAACGGTTCCCGTTAGGCCGGCCGGACAAAAATGTTTATAACACACTTTTTTGTCTTTTTTCTTTCTTTCTTTCTTTTTTTTTTTTTTTTTTTTTTTTTGCGCACACTGGCTCTTGACATTAACTACTGAATCTTTCTTTTAATCATTTATTGAAACGTCAACTCAACTTAATATTGGCATGATTTTAGGTTATGTGTTGGGATATTTTTGTTCTTTGGCTCAGGGAAGGAAATCTCAACATTGTTCAGGCGAAAGATCTAAGCTATAGATGCCATGTTCGGCAATTCAGTGTAATTGTTAAAAAATTTAGTCCTTCTAAAACACTACTAGCAGAAATCACGCACATACTCCAGCCTGGCGTCCTGCAAGACTTTTTGCGATCTCATGCCTGGCAGGCAATGAGTGAGTGTACGGATGGTAGTGTGTGTCTGAAAATACGCACGTGCACCGCTGCTTTGGCTAGCAGCATGCACGCGAATGCACATCTATGCGATTCTCGCAAGGTTATGGATAGGTCCACTGTGATACAAATTGGAGAGAGAAAATTTAATTTCTTATGAGAGATAAATTACTTTCAAGTTCAACAAAGTTACCTTTGACTAACATTCTTGTCCATTACAAATGTATGTTCTTGTAGTGTTAAACTATCAATATCTTTTGTGAAAGAAACATCCGAGCAAATAGGTGACCTCCCCACGAGGAAAGCAAATGAGCTATTCCAGATCAAAGATGGCGCCGAAAGTTGAAGTGGAATATTGGTATGTTGCATATTTTGCCGATTTTCTTTGTCAAACTGCCCTGTATGTGCTCGATTTTTGCATTCTAGGTAGCCTTAAGATATTAGGTAAAATGGGATGTAAGTTTGTAGCAGATACTGGATACATCTTCTGAAATTTTAACGTCGACCTATATTATGTTGTTGGAGTCTCCTACGTAATTTGTGTACATGTATAACAACGTTACATAGCGTATAAATTGTATACAATCTGTGTCTTTTTGCGCGCTTTAAAAGAATCAAGGATGCGCTTTAAGAATTAGGCAATGTCTTCATGTACACTTACAATGTACATAATGAACACCCTACCATGCACATTGTTCAAAACTATGAGAACGTTTATATTGTACATTAATACTACACACTACAAATACACTACTGCATTACTAAAGTACAGTCAGCTGTATAATGATCTGTTTCCCCCCTTTATAGTACCATGAAATAAAACTAGAGTGAAACTAAAAAGGTAACATTTGCCAAGCAAATGCATATATAGTAATGTTTACCTTTGCTTTAATAGGTCTGCTCTCTTCTTACTCAATCACATTTATATATATGGTCACAGACAGGAGTCTAAATCCCTCCTGCTATAAAATTGCAACATTTTGTAACCCAAGACCAGTTACCAGTATTACAGTGAATTTACAGTACGGTATACTCACACATGTACACATTTCTGGTGCTAGTGGAGGATGAGGGTACGCCCCCCGCTATCGGGAACTGGCCAATCACATCAAAGCAGCCGTTCCTGATGCGGAAGTCATGGGAGTTGTCGGGAGATCAAGTAAGTCTTCGTTTTTGAATCAGGTTATCTCCAAGCAGATGCTACAGTGTCGAGACAGTATCCAATTGGCCAGAGGAGTGTTTGGTGGTTAATGGACTCTCCTCTTGCCACCGTAGCATCTGCTTGGAGATCAATCAGGAACCCTTTTAAACAGTGACAGTACTGTACAGTAACATACATGCATAGACCTAGCTTAATACACTGTTACTTCTACTAAGTTCTAGGTATGACAGTATTGTTTTGGGTGGCTGCCTTGTGAGTTTGTATGTTTTGAGTCTGGACAGCGTAGCCAGGTTGAGAGAAACATGTCAGAAGATCAAAATGCTGGGCAACTGAAATGGAATGACTCCGCAAAAGGAGTTCACAGAATCTATAGGAATTAGATGTCAGCATTTGGGGGAATTCAGGAGGCCAGGGATCACATGAACCAACCTCCGAGTTCTTCACAGCTTCTTTGCAGCAGATAACCCCTCTTTCCAAAGAGCAATTCCCTTTAATAATTTCTAAACCCATCATATTTTTTCCAGGCTCCTTTGAGATCACAGTGGATGGGCAACTTCTCTTCTCTAAATTGGAGTCAGGAGGTTTTCCTGAAGAAAAGGAGGTCAGTCTTAGGAATAGAAATGTCTAAGAAATACTCATATGAAGCCACATTGAAAAGACTCATCTTCCCTTCATAACTGTATACGTATATACATGTACTGTTGTAGCTGTTGTTCTTTTGTTGGTAGCTGAAATACAAAGATATCTGAGGATAAACAAATCATTGGAAATGGATATAGGCTGTTGAGAATTTCCTTTCATTTGTGGTGTCTTGTTCTTCTTAAGTAGGTACTAGGAAAGTCCATTGTTACTGGCACTTCAGATATGGAAACTTGTGTAGGCAAAAGCACGTTAGAATACATGTCATGCCCTATATATGATACTGTTCGAAATAGAGTATGCAATCCAAGTGCAACAGTGTGTGTAAAGCTGATACATTGTACATTTTGGAGACAAATATATGTCAAGTGTGTCTATTTTCAAATTTCACCTGATGTGTAGTGTAGTCAGTAATTTCCTTGAGACTTAGGGCTACGTTTGCAGATGTGAGACTGATCTCTATGAAAGGTTGTTGGATGAACCATCTAAGGTTCTACACATAGCTGCCCTGTTCTGCTCTGTACATACATGTAGGTATTGCAGGCTATCACAGGGTTAAAAGAAGTCCCTCCAGTCAGGCCCCAGACTACTGATGCCACTAGGGTCTTCCAAGGGTTAAGGACAGTTCTTTCTAGGTACTGCTATCTGTTTTGCTTTTCTGTGGGAAGTATTTTGAGCCATGAGGGCCATATGACAGAGCATTTTTTCTTCAGTCTCCTTAATCTGTGTTGATTGGGTTTGTATGAGGTTTATATGAAGTTTTGTTTTTCAAAATGATAAACTTTTCTTTTGTTTCTGTTTTCCCCAGATTCTTGAAGCGTTGAGCAACTACAAGGAGGGGGACAAGGTTGAACAAGTCACCAACATCCAGTTCCCCGGTTGCACCATTCTGTAACTAGCCAATCACAGAGCAGCACTGCCATATCACCTCATCACCAAGCCAATAGGAAGTCACCTGAAGGTATGTCTCAACCAATCAGGTGGCATCTCACCACCCAGCCAACAGGGATGCAGCAAATGGCATATTTCCACCAATCAGGCTGCAACTCCTCACCCAGCCAATGAGAAGTGATGTGTCATTGACCAACCAAAGTGCTGCTAGACACAGATGGACCAACCAGATAGAGCCTTGCCTCAACCTTTTGAATGAAGCTTTCTGTCTTCACTTGACTTTGTTCCTTTACAAATCTCGGCAATGACGGAGAAAGTTTAAAGGTTTATTGACTTTGTCCTGATGAATTAAGAGAGAGGTAAGGGAAAGAAGTTGAAAAAAAATGGATTGCTTCAAGCATTTTCAGGGATTTGTACACAAAGACAATCTGAAATACTGTACAATATATGTGCATGAAAGACATACAAAGATCTGACTTACAATGCATCATGCAACTACAGCAACCCTCTCTTATTATGGTTTACCATTTTTGGATCAGTCAACATTCATGTTGGAAAGAAATGTAATGTCATTAAGAATGTAAGAATGTGCATGACAAAGATATTTCACTGTTATTTATACTTGGCATCGGGGTTTCTCTAAGTGATCAGTGTCCAAAATGTTATAAATATCACCCTTCTCCTTATCCTCATTGTGATCGATGTGTGGTTTCCACAAACACTATTACAGGACCTCTAACTTATATCCTATCCAAGAGGAGATTCTAGGAGCTAGGTACTCATTTTCACCCTGGTGGAGTGAGGAGATAGGTGGAAAAAAATTGCCTTTCCAAAGGGGTATATAACACTGGGGCCTGCCAGAGATTCGAACCCAGAACCTTTAGATTACTAGTCACAACCCTAACCGCAACCATTTCCACCAATAATAGTTGTTGATCTACGGTGGAGTTGGTTTCGTAAAACCCCATAAAATACTGTTTTTCAGCTTAAGACCGAGAACAGTTAACCCATCTGAAACGTTTTCCATTCTAAGCGTTCCCAGTCTATAAAGGGAGCCTAAGTCACAACCCTTGCCACCAATGATGGCTGTTGATCTATGGTGGAGTTGGTTTTGGAAACGTTTTGTAAAACCCCATGAATACTGTTTTTCGGCTTAAGACTGGGAACGGATAACCCATCTGAAACGTTTTCCACTCTGAAACCCTCTAAGCATTTCCAGTCTAAAGCAAGCCTTAGTCACAACCCTTGCCACCGATGATGGTTGTTGATGGCTTATATGTGCTTTACGAGCGCCCAATGTTAGTCACTGCGAGGCAACGGTGGGAATAATGAGCATTCATAGATGGGGAGAACTAATGAGACTACTGTACAAACACTCTGATGTTAGCGGCTTTTAGAACGTACACAGTTTTATCGGCATGATCTGTGCCCACACAGAAGCGCGTATTGTGCGTCACGTGGCAACCAAAGCTGTAAAGCCATTCAACGGTGTGTGGTAAACGTGGGGTGTTGACGGGATGTCGTTTCTGTTGCTAGGCAACGGGGTTCTGATGGGTTTGCCGCCATTTGCGGTGTGACCGAAAATACGTGACAGACGGACTCAAGTGGTTTGGCTCAGGACTTCTGGAGAAGGTCTACTTTTACTTTTTGTCTTAGACTAAGATAGAGTGTGTCGAGGAAGTGTATCTTCTTAGAAGAGATAGTGACCTGAGACAAGGGACATTTTGTGGAACTGTACTGCTCAAGAACAAGCTGTTCTTGAAACAAGAAATTGAGGCTGTGCCAAGGATTTCTCCAGGATTTGCAACCTCTTGGATATTTGGTTCTAAGATCATTTTGTGGCAGATAGAAGATTTTGAATATCTTGGAGACTAAGAAGGGAACAAATCTGGTGCAGAAAACTTGTTGAAAGGCTGAAGGATCGTGTTTCCTCCATATTCAAGTAAGCACTGCAAACAACCTTCTATCTGCTCTATTACTTTTTCAAGACATTCTTAAATTTCAGAAAGAAGCAGAGACTCGATTTTCTGCTAAATTTCTCTGAAAATAGGTCCAACAAAGGCTGACTGATCATACTTGTTTAAAACAATCGTGCTTGAACATAACATCATCAAAATAATTCACGCCTCCAATTGAGCTGACAACTGCAGCTAAAAACCTCTTGGTTCCAGATTCGTCCAAAACTAAAACTCACCACAGTATAATAAGATGGGTTCAACAAGAGAACCGAGTGTTCTTATCCGGTCTGATACGTTTGTAGCCACAAACATGGGGGCTGCTCTAGAGAACCCTATCGGAGCGGACACAAGCATTTCTAGCACCCTCTCGCACCGGGAGCTCGAGGAATGGTGCGAATCGGCGGAACAGGAGTGTCGAGGGCTTTACCAGGACTTGAAGGAGACCATGGGGGAGAGTAAGAAGTGTCTGCGGGAATCAGAACTCAAGTTCAGCAGGGTCTTACAGGAGAAGAACAGGCTGCAGAAGGAGAGGGACAACGCCTTAGCAAAGGTAAGAAGTTCAGACTTCTTAAGGGATGAGAGTTCGTGATTTAGGTAAAAGACAGTTCAAGAAAAAAAATGTCTTTCTGGTTATCATATCGACTCAAACCTAGCTGCTGGCACTAGTCATTTTTAGGATCAAATGTTACAAAATTATGAACAGTACCCACATTTTCTCATCTCTGACGCAATAGAGCAAGCAGTTATTATGAATACTTGGATGGATAGTTTTTTTTAATACACCTGTGCTTGTACAATGTGATGTTGTCTATGTTTTTGTCTAGTAAGATTTTTGTCCAGTGAATATTTTTGTTTAGTATGATTTTAGCAAAGCTATGACAAAACCCACATTTTTTAAGGATAGGACAACCATTTCTGCTCCAACTTTCAAGACATCCAAAGTTCATGACTGTCCCAAGAATGCTCTCAAGTTGCAGCAAGTTGTAAACCTGTCGTACAACCATTCTGGCCAAGTTTATGTTACAAGTAACAATCTATATACATAATTAGCAATATATCATTGGTTTCTATACTGGTAAACTATGTCTAAAGCATTCCGTATGTACTTAAGTGCTCTTGCAGTAATTGTAAAGTTTTCTTCTTTTTTTTCATGTTTTTATTATGGCCCTATTGAGCTTCTGACCTCTATTTGAACTTGAAACACGATACAATTATAACCTGTTTTTAAATGGTTCAAACCAAAACACCTGATGGTCACTAGGGGCCCCCCCGGGGAGGTGGATTATTCCACTGTGTCCTGGGTGGGGACAGGGTTGTTGAAGGGGCTTGTGTGCACTTTTGTTGACCTTCTGTAGTTCCGTGTTCCTAGTGATTATCACATCACAGTTACCTGGCTACTCTGGTGTTGTCAGTGTCCAAGTCTTCAAAAGGAGGTGACATGAAAAAAGAACTGTAGCAACAAAATAATTCTTAAACCTACTGTAAAAAATCTGCCTTATATGTTTGTATATATGCTGTGAACTACAGTGGCTTTCATTTTTTCGATATTTTGTTAGGGCAGCGTTTTGAAGAAGTATTACCAACAAAAGGGTTTAACAAGTGCCCAGTTTAAACATTGAAAAGTGATTAGTCTTAATAAGACATTCTTTGGCATCTATATTTGGAAAGTGGCAATTAGGAGGTTGTATTTCTTGATAAGTAACCGGGTAACCTACAAACCCACATAGGAGTTCTTTATGAAGAAAACATTAGTCCGAAGATTGTTAGATATAGCTTTTCTCATAATTAAACCGTTTTTTATACAACGGTTGTAATTTGTATATCCTTTCATTTGACAAAAGCTCCCTTATCAGGTGGGCAATTTAATACATCAACAGGCCTCCAATTCCAAAATTTCTCCGTGTTTGCTCCTTCCTTCCTTCCTTCATTCATTTATTAAATAAATTGTTTTTTAACCGCTGTAGGTCTAAGCCCTAAAAGAGGATTGTCAAATGCGCACAGAGGTATCGAAAGTAACCATTTATTCACTCACTCACTCACTCACTCACTCACTTACTCACTCACTCACTCACTCACTCACCCATTGCTTCATTAATGCAAGTAGTAATTTTAACCCCTGTAGGTCCAAGGGCTGAAGGATGAGGCCGTGTCTAAGGACCACAAGTCTGCCAACTAGCTGGTTAAAATTAGACTTAGTAAGACTTATAATTAGCAGTGTTACAGAATATTTACTGTGATTTTTGTAATTCTAACCCCTGTAGGTCCAAGTGCTGAAAGATGAGGCCGTGTCTAAGGACCACAAGTCTGCCAAACGGCTGGTACTGAAGACTATATTATATTTAGGACTGCTACAGAATATGCACAGTGATTTTTGGGATTTTAACCCCTGTAGGACAGAATAGTTACTGTGATTTTAACCCCTGTAGGTCCAAGCGCTGAAGGACGAAGCCGTGTCCAAGGACCAAAAGTCTGCCGAGTGCCTTGCTTGGCTCCAGGAGCATCTAGTGTTGAAGACTAAGGAATGCTACAGAATATTTACCATGATTTTTGTAATATTTTAACCCCTGTAGGTCCAAGCCCTGAAGGATGAAGCCGTTTCTAAGGACCACAAGTCTGCTGAACGACTCGCTCTGCTCCAGGAGCGACTGGTCCTGAAGAGTAAGGAGTGTGAGGAGCTTCAGAAGGCAAACGTCGCCATGGACAGGAAAATGAAGGCCGAGAAGATCAAGCATGGCAGGAACATGGCCAAGTCAGTCACTACATGTTTGTTGTTTTTGTTTTTTGAACCTTTTGTGTCTTCATGGCAAGCTCAAATCGGCCTGCAGGCCACTTTTCATTGAGGTCATGAGGGAAGAGGAAAGGGTCAGACAAAATATCAATCTACATGTATTGTCACACATACAAAATACATAGTTTATTGCATACAGTATATAGAGCTTGTGTATGTTTCATGTCCATTCGTTTTGGTCATTTCTGATTTCTGTTACTTTAAGAGTCTTTGTGTACTGGTCTGCGTTAGGTATTTTTGGGTTGGCTGGGGTATGAGTTTGTATGTTTCGTGTCAGTAGCGACAGTTACATGGAGGGTTGGAGATGGTTTTGACAGTTAATTGATAGGAAGTTCAAGGTTAAAGGTGATACAGCATGCGCCGAATCCAGCACACTTGTCTTGTGTGACACACTGTAGCAACTCATCATATAGTAGTCAAAGGTATCATACATGCATAAGTTCAAAAGTAAACGTCACTTTACTTGCTACTACCTAATGATTCAGTCGCGTACCGCAGAAAAAAAAAAGATGGAACATTGTTTCCTAACGCCCCCTATTGTTTATATTACAGACTGCAGGACGATATGACGAAACTGCGGAATGTGAATAAAAGACTCGTAGACGACTGCGACAACTCCAAGAAGCTGGCTCTAGAGGCTCTTAAACAGGCAGAGAACGCAGAAAGATTCAGGTAGGATTTTTCTGTGTTTAAGTTTGTGTGTGTGTGTGTGTGTGCCTGTGTGTGTGTGTGTGTGTGTGCGTGCATATGTGCGTGGATGCATCTGTGTGTGTGTATCTGTGTGTTTGTGTGTGTGTGTGTGCGTGCATGCGTGTGTGTGTGTGTGTTTATGTACCTCCATGTGCGTGTGTGTGTTTCCGAGGTTTTCTCAAAATTATGATGACTCATAAAGAAACTTACTCTCTGCATCTTTTACTCTCCTTGCAGACAAGACGAGATGAGGAAAAGAACCCAGATGGAAGAGCGGATGCAGTTCCTCATCCGAGAGAAAGAGGTCCTCACCAAGAAGCGCTACATGACCGACAAGGCGTACCACGAGGCCGTGCGGCGCATGGCTCACGTCATCAGCGAGAAGGAAGAAATCACCATAGAGAGGAACAAGGAGCGAGCCATGAGGACGCAGCTAGAGAGAGCGTTCGACCAGAAAAGTAGAAACACAGAAGGTAACAAAGAAACTATGAACGAGATGAAGAAGAGAGCCCTGGACAGGTTGAATAAGAGCCACATACCGACAGTAAACAACGCAAAACATGTCAGCGCCACGGAGGAGATGAAGAAAAAGTTTCTAGGTGCAATGGCAATGAAGGACTGAGGATAAGGTTGAAAGTCCATCTGTGTTGGTAGAAACCATTCTAAACTAGAAAGATAACATTTGCAAAGCAAAGACTTAATGTTTACCTTCACATACACTGTCAAACCCAACAAACTAACTCTGTTCACTACTCAAACACATGCATATACATGTAGTATATCTGGTGACACAGTCCAATTCTGTCCGGCTATAGCCACTACAGGGTGTCTCAGAAGCACTGGTTAGCATGGTGACAGACGCCTGGTTATGTGTTTGGAGAAGAAGAAGAAACAGAGCAAAAACAATATGATTTCCTTCTGTGAAGGTAAACATAATTAAAGTATGTGACATAGATCCAACTTTCCCAAATCTTATGATGATATTTTATATTACAAATGCATGGTTGTAGTGATATTCTTTATTCCAGATAAACATCTTAATCAAAGAAGTGGAAATAAAATAGGCCAGTTCACAGTTCAAAATGCTCATACACAAGGTCAAAGGTGAGGCTCCGACTTTTGAACTGGAGCAGACTACGCGTTTTTTTGTTTATGTCTCAGGGGCCTTCAACTTAATGTTACCAACAGTGGGTCGCACTGCACGTGCGCATTTCAACGGTGGTGATTATGATGATGACGTGCATTTTAACAATGATTGACTGACTGGTATCAGTTGAATCCATTAGTTGTTCCTGTGTGAATTAAGCTTGAGTGGGTTCAGCAACTTTTACAATATTTCAATTATTACAATATTTCAGACAGACCCATGTTCAACTTTTACAGTCGTTTTTTAACCATTTACAAATGGTTAGGTATGACACTGCAGGATTGGGTAAAGTTAATATATACTATGTATATACTATTATTATACTATACAATGATCCACACAATAGACTTAAGGTATAGAATGGAAGAAGTCAGCAAAAACAACACAGAAACATAAACTGTGCCAGTCTATTTCTCTTTATTGTGGTATAACCACATCTTGACTGACATGTATACTGACAAGGATTAATTTTCACAATAGCAACAGACACAAACCATCTGTAGCAACAAGGAAAATAAAGAATGATAATTTGACATTGAATGATTCATAGACAATATGAATGATAATTAAAAGTTAAAGATAGTCAGATGGGAAATTTCTTATTTCTTTCCTATACCTCGACTTTAAGTACCCTTTCTGTTGTACATGCACAGTTATAAAGTGATCTTGGGGTGACGTCAACTATTGTGAGTCCTCGACCTGTCAGCTGGGTTAGCGTCTGTCAACTTACGGCTGGAAGTTGACAGGACGGACCATCATTTTGGACTTTTTCAGATAGGTCTTATAGGAGCCTCCAAAATAGTACCAATCGATACCAAAGCCACTGTGACTGGTACGGTCAGAGGGGCGGAGGTACGGGCCGTTTAGAGCAGACCCAGTACAGGACTTGTACCACCAACCTCCCGCGTAGGTACTCCGGCCACCTGCACAGGACCCGCTGTAGGCATCACGGTCTACATCCCTAGCACTAAAGGGCTGACCCGTTAGGTAGGGGTTAGATGATGAGTCTGAGAACCCATCCCCAGCGGTCCCACTGTACCCACTGACAGAGAGGCGATAGTTGGAACTACTCCCCACCGAGAATGACGAATACTTGGCGTACTTGACCACGCTATCCCAATCTTCCAGCTCTACGTACAGCTCATACGCGTTCTGTCTGGTCAAATGGTACATATTCTCCAACCCCAACCACTGCTCTCCATTGGCTGACCCAAACCCGTACCTAAAGGCGTTATAAGGTCGGTTAAAGTCGATAGACCCGTCAAACCTCCTCTGTATGACCGTCCACCCTCCCCCATCTGTGGTCTGATCACAGTATACAGAGATCGGGCTGGTCAGACCTACAGGCATTATGTCGTATACACCACTAGACACAGCATTGAACAGGGACAGGGCAGTGTGGATCTGAGAACAGTCGGAAAAGTAGTTTGTGCGCCCGCTGAGGGCTAGGGAAGCCAGGTCGGTCTGAGGAAACTGCCCGCCCGCATCACCCGGCTTTTCGTTGTCTGCTTGGTCCTCTGTCTCCACACACAGTAGCGATTCTGTAAGGAAGTAACACTTATAATGAGTTGAGAAATTCCCTCATTAAAAAAAATTTTAGATTCTACGTTGAGATTTCTTCAAAAGGTCTGTGGGCTATTTATCATGAACATATAGAAGAGGGAAGATTGGAGTAGCTTTTTTTTTTACTCGGATCTCAAAGATATAAATAAAACGAATGTCCTATTACCCAAATCTCAGTGAGATCATCTCTCTTTGTGACATAATATTAATAGACGACAAAAACAACGAGTGTATATGATTGAATATGGATCTAATACTGCATATACAAAATATACAAAGACAGATGATGATGGTCAAAGCCACTAACTCCACAGTTAAGCAATCCACACTTATGATAACTTCATAAGACAGAGCAAGAACCATGGACTAACCACAAGTCGCTGGGTCAAGTGAGTTGAGCTCGTCCCCTACAGCTCTGCACAGGTCCTTTATTAGAGAGTTGGCACTGGGACTGGGTTTAGTCAAAGCTGCAAGGAGAAAATAATCTTATTGAACGTGTTTCTTCTACCCAGAACTATCAACGTTAATTTTGAATTTCACAGCTTCAAAGAAAATGGATACATTGAGTAAGCATGGGATGATGGTGGGTTGGCCTCAACTTGTGAATCCTCGACCTGTCAGCTGGGTTACTGACTAGCAACTCACAGTTGGAAGTTGGCAGGGCGGACTATCGGTTTGGGATATACTATGCCAACTTAAATGATGTTTAACCTCTTGGAACAATAGGAAACACTTACCAATTCCTTTGCATCCATTCCGTATCTGACACAGGTCCGAGGTGCTCCACTGTGTTTCCCCGTCCTGCGATGTTCCACAGACGGTGGTGCAGACAGTAGTGATGAGTAGGATCAGGTACAGCATCATGGCGGCGGTCAGGCTGGTCGGCAGTCTGGATATAAAACCTCAGTACGCCGGTATTTAAACCTTAGGTACATCTGCCAGTATTTACCAGCCACTTTAGACAGAAATATCCTAGAATAAACTGACATTTCATATGTGAATTTGCCACTTCCTTCCCTCATTTATTAGAATTGACTCAACAATCAGCGAGCCAAATGTACTAAGGACTCGTTCGATATCTTTTATATAGACATCTGTATAGTTACCTGTACAGTAATATAGTATGTTTATTTTCCACTAAACTAGAGAACACGTGTACATATACCGGTAGTTAAAAACACTCTTCGTGCTTCTGTGAATGATTTCATCAGGTTGTATGACAGAATAACAAGGTTCATAAACACTTCAAGTCTACGCTTCGATGTTTACGAGTCTCTCGTAAAACAAGTGGCTGTGAATAAAAAAGAACTTTGCTATTTTACTCTTTGTGCAAATTGACCTTCCACATATACCAAAACATCATTTCGCTACTTCTTTATCAAAGTTGACACAACTCTCAACTGAACATTTTGTTCAATTTTCAAAAGGAGAAGTATTTTGTCGGCATCAACAGAAAATTTTGATAACATTTGCAATGAGTATGTCGTGTGAACTAGTTTTTTTTTAAATTTTTTTACATTATTCAGAATTTTGCCTGTTGCAGACGATATTTTTTCCGACATAACATTTTACAGACGGAGTGTTAACCTTATGTGCGCGAATACGATCTTATATGAGACATTCTGCCGAAGTGCCATGCCCAATATATTCGCGCAGATGCAGTACGTTCTGCCGACGTGCTTTGCTGTACACACGTTTCCATATCTATACCTCTTACGCAATCGCCAACATTAGATAAGTTCTCGCGAGAAGTACCGAACGAGACTTTGTACTTATCCCATTATTTGGTTAGCTGGGCTTATGCCTATATAAACCCCATTGTCCGACCCGGTGTGTCAGTGCATGCGATTCAGATAAACAGTAAATAGGACACCATATATAACTGTAACACTCCATTATCTGTTAAACAACAGAACTGTTGCGTTACTAGCCTGCTCGTTTTTAATTGTTGGACAGTCTTGATCCGAAGATATTTTTGACGGGAATCATGATGACAAAGATGCAGTTCCAGAGCCTTTTCCTGTCCGTTTTCTGCGTCTATTTTGTAAATACAGGTAAGTTCTGATTCTTCTTTCATCTAGTGGTTTTACAGACTTAAAAGGTCATTTTATATGTGTGTGGTGTTTTATCATCCCATGTGTTAAGAAAATGTAAAACCCCGTCATTCTATGTAGCATTTACTTTGCACTTAGTGTTGTATAAAGATGTGCTAGAATTTTATACAATACAAAGTAGTAGCCTCCATAGCATGCCAAAAACTGGGGGGTCTTCGGGGTCTTTGGGAGCTTTTATGTGCTATTTTCTGATTGCATATAGACAACGTAGCCGGCCTGGTTGAATTACCCCCGTTTTTAGAACTGGGCTAATCAGAGACGACCACCAAACCCCCAGTTCTATAAGCCTGCAATGGAGGCTAACAAAGTAGTGTTATCTGTTTACAACCTATACCCAGCTGTTACATGGTGGAACTTTTCAAAAGAAAAGATCGATCCAGCCGTGCTTCTACATGAGGTTTTATGGCTGATTTATGATGAGTCCACAGGGCTGGAAATACTGGGTGCATGTGCATCTTAGTGCACTCAAATTGGAGCTGTGCACCCAATTGTTTTCTGTGGGTGCACTGGTGCACAAAACTATTTTTGTAGGTATTTTTTACATGTCAAATGTATTATAGTATACATGATATTCTTGGCATTCTTGTCAGAAAATAATGAAATTTAGTAGTACTTGTTTAAGATTTTGAAGTTAGCTCCCATTTCGGTTTCAGGCTCAAAAGAGGAGCAGTAAGATCTCTAATTATGTTTTGTTTTATATGCATGGTGCACCCAAAAACATTTGTGCACTAGTGCACCTATTCCCAAAAATGAATTTCGAGCCCTGGTCCATGTTAGAAGTGTGCCCTGATCAGACGTAGTAGCCATGTGTACACCGGTTTGCTTATCTATGCAAGATCTTAATAAACAGGTTGATCAAACCCTCTATGCGAAAGACGCTCAAATAACGCTGTAGCTGTTTTGTTTCGACAAACCTTACAAGAAGTCCATCACTTTCTGAAACATCAAGAATGCAAAACAAACCAGACAAAAAGTATACTTTTTATACATTTGACATATGTATAATGTGCAAAGTAAAAAGAGTGTAGTCTATACATCTAACAGGTGTTACTGTTTAAATTATACTCGAGGGTTTTCTATAGCTTGGTACTCATTTCAAGATTTCGTTGATCTCATTCCAAATGAGAATAGAATATCTTTTGGTTTCTTCTTATAGTATGGAGGGAGTCAATACAACACATACACACACACACACACACACACACACACACATACACACACACACACGAAAAATATGTAAACATGCACCGTAAAACGTCGCAGAAAATTCTTTCTCCTTGGATACGGAAAAGTGTTTCTATTTATGATACCAAGGGGCTGAATACCATTGATAGCCCCATCAGAGTCGTTAAGCATGTGGCAAAACAGGACAGTAATTATATCTGCACAGCTGTTGCACCACCTTGTAAAACATGGGGTGTCATCTTGTAATGTACTTCTGGTATTGGTAACAGCAATATATAGCTGCGTCAAGGATCTAATAGTGTAGCCTCCATAACATGCCACAAATTGGAGGTTTGGCGGGCCTTCAGGGTCTTTGGGAGCTTTTATGTGCTATTTTCTGATTGCATATAGACAACATAGCCGGCCTGGTTGAATTACCCCCGTTTTTAGAACTGGGATAAGTAGAAAACAGCCGATGACCACCAAACCCCCAGTTCTATAAGTCTGGTACGGAGGTTACTAATAGTGCCTTTATAAAGCCTCTGGTACACACAGTTTATTTACAGTTGACTAGATACTGCCGATAATAAACACAGTATACAGAGTTCTATTGTGAAATGGAATCTGCTATCACTAAACATAGTAGGGGCCCTTAATTCAATAGAAGGCGATTGTAGTTTGATACAAAGGGATTACAATATATCTGTTGTTGTAATTAAGTCTGAAGCCAGTCTTTAAAACGGTTGTATTTGATGACTCCATACGTCGTGCGATCGTTGTACGACATTCTTGGGGCGGTCGTGCAAGTGTCTTTCAAAATTCAGCTGTATTTTTACACGAAAAACGCTGTCTTCACTAGATCCTAGTCGTTAGAGCAAGTAAGCCACATGGAAACTTCATGAAACTAATTTTTTTATGAACTGACAATATGACAAAACGTTTGCCGAATTTCATATGTTGCGTAACGAATCATATATAAGACACGTTCATGTAATGCACGGGCATATACACGTGTATCTTACCCTGTACTTTTGTTATTGTCAAGCTGTTACACAACAAATATATACACACTGTCAGTATAACCTACTCTAAATTAGGTTACCCGCGGCCAATGCCCGCTTATATGGTTTGCCCTTTTAACCTTTGGTAATCATGACGAGTTTATTAATCTCCAATTAGGGTTAACCTTTTAAATACACTGTCACCATCCACTATTTGTTACTTAGAAATCATTTACATCTAAGGGGCTTTTCAGCGTGTAAAATAACTGTCAGTGTAACTATTATGTATTAGTGCTTGTTTCAGGCGTTTTTAGGCGTTTACTCTTTATTCTTTATTCAAACAATGGTCAGCATGGCAGCAGTACATAAAAAACTAGAGTTCCACGATCTCATACCTTCGCCAAATGATGTTGACCTTTATGACTAAGAAATGATAGATTTTATAGATTAATCCCCCTGATTGTGCAAATAGGATCATCAATTGCATGAATATATCTGTTGATCTTATTCTCCACCAATTTATCAGCTTTTCTTGGGGTATACTGGCCTTCTTAGGCCTAGTTCTTTGATAGTTCTAGATCTTTATACCACAAGAAAACCTGACCAAATGGAAATCCTGACAAAATGCATAGAAAGGTCCAAACAAGGATAACCTCTGCTTGGAGAATAAGCGAAACGAGGTCTTGTCTGTTTGTCCAGTCGTCTGAGGCGTAATTCTAATATTTGCCCGGGACTGAAGGTCCGACTGTTCTACTTTTTATTAGTTTTCCACTTGGAGATATTCGGGACGATCCAACTGCCTCACAGGGGGAAAGGTTAATACAAATGAAAAATAATACAAATAGAATTGTAGAAGCAACTGTTAAAAATACAGAGTTTGGATTATTTAAAGACGACTTGTGGCGAAGAAGATAGACATGACGAATGAAAACGATGGAAAATGGATTTAAAGAATGTAAACAATATTCTACCATCCCTCCTGCAGCTGGTATGGTTATAGTTGGTCTCATGCATGGCATAGTTGCAAACCGACGATGGTCAGCACAAATGTCGTACAGCCTCACGTGCGTGTACACGCGAATGTAACGTTCTGTAGCACAGTTCTTTTGTGTAAGATGTTAAGGTATTGCCAAAGTCTTACATTATCAGCAACATGCGACATGTGCAATCTGTCGTAGTACCCTCACCTATGTTGAAAGAAAATAATGTACCTCACCACATAAAGTTTTATAAATGATTCGGTGAAATATTGCAACTTTCAGACGTATATTGTAAACTGTTCTGGTTCTAGCTTAGTGTAGAAAGCTTAAGTCCATTCATTCAACTCCGTAAGAGACAGTAGATAGAAGTGAAACATCTACCCATCCGTTTATTATGATATCTTTTATTATTACTTCTGATCAGAATTGGTTCATACCAAGGAGGTTATTATAGGGGATAACCTACTTGATAAAACATAACCTGTGATTTAATTAAGTTGATTCATCCATAGTCTTGTGCGTAGGTTAATTTTTCTGTACCAACGTGTCTGTATGTTTAATTATACACCTTACTTTTGTTGTGTCATTCTAGTTCTGTCTCTTCAGTCTAACTTATAACGCCCCCCGTCCCTCCTAGCCGAAGCAGATGTATCCGTCCTCGTCGGTGGAACAGCAGTGATGGCGTGTCCTGTCGATGACGTCAACGCCTACAGAGTCACGTGGACAAAAGAGAACAGTCTATTGGCTGAGGTAAAATCAAAGTATTCTTAGAACTTTCTGTATATGACTCCAGTTCCCCTTACCATAATAATAATCGATACACAGACAACGAAGTAGAGGAACAACATATAATCTACTGATTACTATGAATGAAAAAAGCTTAGGTATTACTAAGTAGCGTGATATATAACATTTTTACTACAATTTATACTTCAGAGTTCAGATCAAATACATGTACATACAATCAAACTGTGACTTTTGTTTTGCCGTACCTTTAGCCATCTTCAAGGTGATTGACCCATTGGTTTTGAACACGTGACTTCAGTGGAGGGTTAAAGGTTAAATTAAGTTGATTTCATATAACCTTTCAGATACCACAAGTTGGCACGCCCCTCATCCCTCCGGCCTTATCAGGTAGAGTAAGTGTAAACGGAAGTGACGTCATAATCCAAGGGGTTGAACTTCTGGACGAAGGCTCTTATACCTGTGCTGTACTGGATACAAGTTTCACTACCGAGGTCTCAACAGTGGGCCTTCTGGTTAGAGGTATGTACATGTATTTCCTATGAAAACTGCTCTAACAACATAAACTATATCATGGATCTTTAATTTGTTGCCAGTTGCTTACTGGTTATGATACTTGTGCGTTTTGCTTATCCCGAGAAAGGAAGTATTGTTTTGGGTAGATGTGGTAGCCTGGGTTCCATCCTGGTTAATAGTAAACTATCCAGGATGGAACCCAGGCTACAGATGTGGTATTGGTTTGTGCATCTTTATATCGGGACAGAATAGGTTGACATCACGTGGGTGGGAAGATTGACAGGCAGGAAATGGGGTGAACTGAAGGTCTCAGAATCTGGCTAAGAGCGAGCAGGAATTAGTGGTCGACATGGGGGGAATTTAGGAAGCCAAGGAATCCGGTGACCATGTAATAGCAAGGATGATTCTTGTGCGAAAGATGCAAAAATGTCATAGGTGCAAAGGTACAAAAATCGGCCATTTGACTCAGTGTCAGGGACGTTTTTTTTCAGATCCACAACGTTCTTGTACAATTTAGATTCTTGTACAAAAGAAGGAAAAACTTGCTATAATTACATCGTTTTTGACATGTATGACTCGCTATTTTCCCTCAAGTCCAGCCCCAGACCCCGGTCATCACGCTTTCTGGTTCCCCGGCCGCCGGTCAGCTGCAGCCCGGCACGAACGTGACGCTGGTCTGTCACAGCTGGTCAGGCCGTCCGGCAGCGCAACTCACCTGGTACAGGGACGGACACCTAGTCAACGGTGGGTAGGAGTGAGAAAACCATCACGAGAAACATATAACTGTCAATCACAATTAGCCAATTAGCCATTCAACCAATGATAGTGTGACAATTAACAGTTCGGTTAAGGTGAGAATGGCAGCTAGGAAAACGTAACGGTTTAGCCTCCCCAAACATCTGCTTGGAACATATTGTATGTCTGGTCTAGGTCATTGCGATTCAGCACCAAGGACAGGGACTATTACTCCATACTAGTACTACATATAGGCTTGATCAATAGAGCTTATAGAGGTTATTTAGGACAAGTCTCTATTTCTCTCTGTCCGTCTGTCTGTCTGTCTCTCTCTCTCTCTTGTTCTCTCTCTCTCTGTTCCTCTCTCTCTCTCTCTGTTCCTCTCTCTATCTGTCTCTCTCTCCTTGTGTATGTCTCTCAGTTCCTGTTTCTCTCTCTCTCTCTCTCTCTCTGTTCCTCTCTGTTTCTGTCTGTTTCTCTGTTTCTCTCAATCTCTCCCTGTGTATGTCTCTCTCTCTCTCTGTTCCTCTCTGTTTCTCTCTCTCTCTGTTTCTCTCTCTCTCTCCCTCTCTCTCTCTCTCTCTCTCTCACACACTCTATCTGGAGGTAGTGGCTGATGACCAGTCCCACGTTTCCAATTTCCAGGCACCTATCTAGCTGTGCACGACCCCGACGGTTTTGGCAGCGCCACCGTGACGGTGCCGTTAACAGTGACGGAGGCGGATGACGGTGTTGTGTACGAGTGTGTGGCGTCCGGCCCGGCTCCTATCGTCACGCAAACCGCCACGGTTACACTGGATGTCGCGACAGGTGCGTCCGAAAAAAATTGAGGTTGACATTCTTTAGTACTTCCAGATGCGGAAGTATTGTTTTGGGTAGCTGAGCTGTGTGTTTGTGCGGTGGGTGGGTGGTGGATTAACAGGAAAGATACGAGTTCAAAGTTGTCTTAATTTAGGAGGGATTATAGGTCGACATGGGGAATTTAGGAAGCCGAAAGTCTGGCTCCTTCCATTTCATTAGTATGAAAAATGTTGAAGTAGACAATAATAGGAGACACGAAAATTTGGATATGTCCAAGTTTTTGTGTTGGAAATTACAGTTTAGACATCCTAAATGATGATTGGAGATATTGACGGCTCGCCTTTTTGCCAAGCAATGAAATGGGACTGTATAGCGCAAAGCTCCGACTAGGCAGTAGTGTTTATTTGATAGGCACCCATGTATCAGTGAATGATACATGAATGGCCGGCATGCTGACCAAATTTGCATGTTCTGAAATGCTGTATTTGTACCATCTTAGCACCAGCTGTTATCAAGACGACCGTACCATCACATGTGGACTCACCTGGAATAACAACAGACCTACCAGGTAAGTCATGTATCTAGATATAAATAGAAAATCCATTCAAACCTAGAAAGGCTTAAACAAACCTAGACGCGCATGAGCAATCGTGGACATAAAAACGGTCTCCCTAGCAAGCTTCTGAGGCTTTTTGCTTATCATGTACTATTTTATGATTGTGCATACAGTATTCCGATTTGTAACTGACTTCTGATAGCCCTAAAGGCAAGTAATAAAAAAATACAGGTTTTAGTGTTGCTGAATGTTTATTCATTTATTTATTTACTTTTTTCTATTTATAATGTTATAAATGTTTTTCTCAGCCGGTGGAGTGGCGGCGCTAGCCGGTTCTAGAGCCCTGCTGTCCTGTGACGTCGGTAATGTGCCGGTGGCTAAAATCACCTGGGAGAATGACAGGGGGCTGGTAGCTGAGGTAAGGACAGTACTTTTAGTGTAGACTCTACCAGGCTTCAGGAGAAGGCTGGAAAAAGTAGAAATTGGCCAAACTTAGAGATAACATGCCGAGGTATTTGGTCCGTTAGAGTACATTTTACCACACTCTGGTACGGCAAAGTGCTCAGTAGCACAATATCATCATGGCTTTTAACACAGCCTGTTAAAGTATGATGGAAATCTTCGTCACACATAACACATAAATGCGACCTATGGTGAAGTTGCATTTTATTATCATCTATAGAAAGAGAGCTTTACGCTTTGTCTGGAACATTACAGTTTTACCTTTTTTCCGGGTGTGTGAAAAGGATTTTTTCCAAAACATATTCATGGATTAGCCTTTTAAATACAGATTGATAGACCCAAAATCGAGTGATCAACGTACACCAAGTTTACACATCTTAATTAAAATGCTTTTTTTTTATTTTCTTGAAGCAAACGACAGGATCAGTTGCCCTGATTCCCCCCGTACTGAGGGACAGGGTACAGGTGAACGGAAGTGACGTCATCATGGATCCGGTACTGGTGTCGGATGAGGGCCAGTACTCCTGCACTGTTCTACACAGGGACACGTTCCAAGAACTTACCGACACTGTGGACTTGCTTGTCAGAGGTACACATACTGTAAAAGTATTGCTAGTACTTTTTATACCCTCCAAAACAAAGATCAAAACTTCTACAGTAGATGTGTACTTCGTGGTCGATCCGCCTGATGACATGAACCAGACTGTCTGTTACCATAGTAACTAGTGTTGGGTTACCTCATGTTGCAATTTTATTGCAGGAGGGATTTAGACTCCTGCCTGACCATATACATGTATATGAATGTGTTAAGTAAGAATTAACAGAGCAGACCATATGCGAAGGTAAACGTTAACATTATGCATTATTTTTTGCTTTGCAAATGTTACCTTTGTAGTTCTTTGTTCAAACTTGTCATAAACGAAAAAGATGACCAAACTCTTGCTATTTTTCCCCCCCAGTCCAGCCCCAGGCCCCGGTCATCACGATCCCAGGTTCCCCGGCCGCCGGTCAGCTGCAGCCCGGCACGAACGTGACGCTGGTCTGTCACAGCTGGTCAGGCCGTCCGGCAGCGCAACTCACCTGGTACAGGGACGGACACAGCGTCAACGGTGGGTAGGAAGGAGGGAATTTGGATAAATGGATGAGTGGATGGATGGATGGATGGATGAGTGGATGGATGGATGAATAGATGGATGGATGGATGAATAGATGGATGAATAGATAGATGGGGATGTCATTCTTGACTAGCTACGCCAATACGAACTTAAATTAGACGTTCTGCCGACGTACTCTGCACAATATATTACGGGTTTTGCACAGGTGCAGTTTTTTTCTATAATGTACTAACGTAAACAATAGCCTGGGTTGTAACATTAAAATAACACTTCAAGTTCAGTTCGTCTTGCTTAAGTTCTGACCGTTTTTCTCTCACGTGACAACAGGTGTGTACACGTCATCCGCTGACGTAGACGGTTACGCTAACGCGACCTTAGCCGTGACCTTGACGGTGACGGCGGCAGACGACGGCGTGACGTACGAGTGCGTGACGTCAGGACCTCCGCCCGTCGTCACAGAGAGAGTAGAGGTCACATTAAGGGTTCTTCTTCCCACCACTACAACAGGTCAGTCTATGATGACGATTATAGCCAATCATTTTGTATTAATTTATTAATTTTACGTCATTTTTACCCAGGGTTGCCCATTCAGTAGTAACACTGCTTGTCAGTGGGGCCCTGCATCATATACATACATAATTAAACAATATGTGAAATTTATAAAGTTAGCCTGGGTGCCATCCGATTTGTAACGGCAGCCCCGATCGGGTGGCACCCAGGCTAGCATAAAGTCACATACAAATGAATACTGATAATGACAATGATAATACTGAAAAAAACATTAACCAGCAAATAACAATGACAAATGATAATATCAGAAATGTGTAAATTCATAGTCCAGTCCGTTCCAATTTGTCATTATCGACATTTGTCTTTATTGTAGTGTTGCTCGCAGTAGCTAGTCATTTTGACTTGAGTCACATCGTCCTTCAAGTTTTATGAATAGAAAGATTGCTACCTGCTGAAGACTCGTCAACAGGGACTAGAGAAAAAAAAATCGTCTTGAGTGCTGCCGACATGAAGAATTTCGCACACTCTCAGGAAAACGATCTTCTCTCTTGTTGATAAAATCTAAAGCTAAGACGCCGCGCTTGAATAATCTACATTCGTCAACATGACTATTTCCTGTTTTCGTTACCCGCAGTAGTTACAACCACAGAAACTACAACGAGAGAAACTACAAGTACAGAAGATACAGCGACTACAAGACGAACTACAACGCAGAACAGCGACAGCCATGCTACAGTACCATCAGCCACTGGGACGGTACAAACGACAGGAAAGGGAGGTAGGTTCAGTTATTAAATTTGGAGTGATTTGAAGTCAGAAAAAAGTCAGATACACGACTGGGGGGTGAACGTGAGTGTAGGTTGACAACAGGTGGATGGGAAAGATTGACAGAATGACTGGAGTTCTAAAGGTCCGGCACAGAAAATGAGGTAAACTTAAAGGTGATAAAAACACAAAATACTTCCTGGGAGTCCGAAAATTCTTGTTTTTCCATGCATTATGTGCATTTCAGACCAAACAGATGAGTCACACACGACACGCACGCCTCCAGGCGGAGGAGTGGTAGAAGCGCAGTCGGGAACTCCGCTCTTGACCGAGCCGCAGATCATCCTGGTGGTGATCGGGACCGCCATGTTACTGGTCATCCTCGTGGCCTCAGTCGTCGCGGTGCAGAAAGGGTGCTTCAGGAGCAAGTGGGAAGCAAACTTGACGACCGGCAGTATAAGTGAGATGTTTCATATTTATGTTTATTTACAGATTATCATGTTTACCTTCGCAGAAGGAAAACATATTGTTTTTGCTCTGTTTCCTGTTCTTCTTCTTCTCCAAACCAATAAGGTCAATGACCGGAACTAGACGTCTGTCACCATGGTAACTAGTGTTGGGTTACATCATGTTGCAAAAAGCAGGAGGGACTTAGACTTCTGTCAAACCATATATATGAATGTGTTTGAGTATGTGGAAACACAAGCAAACAAACAGATCTTGTTTCAGTCTTATTTCTTTAGTTATCTGACCAAATCGCTGATGACATGTTAATTTATGCACGCGTGACGTCAGAGACGGGTCAAAGGTTGAAGTCTATATCGGCCCCCGTCCCGGCTGAGAGAAGGCTGTTTTCCTAAATAACGTTGTCTCCCGGTGCCTACAGGCCAGTCGGTGGGGAGCAGCTACAGGGCCAACATCCTTTACGCCAACGCCGGAAACGGATATGACGGCCCTGCCAGTGAAATGGAGATGAAGAACAAAGAACTCATCAAACCTCCTCCGGAAAAAATCATTTAAATCTAGAAATATCAGTTATGGTGCAATCACATTGGCCATAGGTCGTCGCACGACGTTGTGGAATTTTAAAGCAGATTGTGGCAGAACCAACCGCCGACAACGATACAACACAGACATTTTGGAAATAAGGATGTAAGACAGCCATTTTCAAAACAAGACAGCTAATTAAATTATGCAGCAGAACACTGGCAGGACTAGTCCCCTGTCCTCAGTTTTGAATCGTACGACGATCATACAACGTCTTTACATCGTACAATGACACTTACGAGTAGCTAAACATTACGTTTGTAGTAGTAAATGCACATTCTTAGGTACTTTACTTCTTTACATTCTTAGGTAATCAATATTTACAGAGGTATTTAAAAAGTTTGTCAGAAAATTTGAAAATACGTTGATGACCTACGTGTATATTTCTTAACGCCAAATTTCTAGTAGAAAGACGTCAAATTCTCTAGGGTTTAGAACTAGTATTTAGTGGTATTTTTAAACACGACTTCTTGTTTTTCCTCTGGTATTTCAAGTTCTTGACAATGGAGTCGTCACCTGTTGTGCCCCTTTCACGCCCACAAAACCACCCACCTCTTCGAAAGGGAAGTAAAAACATCGGGAGAAACTGTCTTGTCCAATCGCATGGCGTGTCACAGAAGGCATTCCGTCCGTCATTCAGTCTAACCAACTGTGGCGACCCTATTGTTGACCTGAAAAACTTCGTTTTCACCAGACCCCTGAGAAAACCAGCGGGCGTGAAGCCAAGCAAAACATGGCTTAAATGTTTCACTAGGGCTTTAGACAGGTTGAAGAGTTAGGCTATGTATTAAAGTTGTCACATTTTGTATTTAGTTGCCGTTTTGCTTCAACTGATGTATTCAATTTAAGTCCAGCAGTTCGTTTCACATACAAATGTAGCTAGTGGGGGATATAGTAGATCAGGGAACCGTGTTAACCCCTTGAGAGCCTCGCCAGGTGAAGAGTTGGACTATGTATTAAAGTAGTCACATTTTGTATTTAGTTGCCGTTTTGCTTCAATTGATGTATTCAATTTAAGTCCAGCAGTACGTTTCATATAGATGAGGGATATAGTAGATCCGGTAACCGTGTTAACCCCTTCAGAGCCTCACCAGGTGAAGAGTTGGACTATGTATTAAGTAGTCACATTTTGTATTTAGTTGCCGTTTTGCTTTAACTGATGTATTCAATTTTAGTCCAGCAATGCGTTTCACATACAAGGAGGATGTGTAAGATCCAGGTATCGTGTTAACCCCTTGAGAGCCTCGCCAGGTGTGCTCAAGCAAGCGGTTGATTGACAGTATTGTCCGGGGGTGTTGGGTGTCAGTCTGGGCATACAGAGTCTCGGTGTTACAGTGTTCGGTCAAGACTTCCCCAACCGCCTTTTTTCTCCACATTTCTTCCTGTAAAACCTTGCGAAGATGTTGCTGCGAGTGTGCCTTGCGTTGTGTCTTGCTGTTACAGGTGAGTTTACCTGTTTTCTTACCTGTCTTCATCTCAGGAGAAACGCCTTATACAAGAGGTAGTGCAGAACAGGTGCTTGAGTTGAGGTAAAAAAAATGGCGGGCTTTTGAGATTTCTATTTAAGGTCAACAACGCGTACTGTTTGCGGTTAGAAAAACTGAATTATAAACTGATAAAAATCCGCATCTATGCAAATTATACTTGATACAGTTTGATATGAAAGACTAGAAATGAAAAACTTGATTATGACTTCCAGCGTTCAAACTGAGGAACGGTAAAATCTGTTTCACTTTTGGCGCCCCCCTCCCCAGACCCTATTTTGAGCGCCATGTCGACATTGATACCATCTACTACACTAAAAGTCGATTTTACACTAGCTTGAAGAAAAATCTTTTTTCAAACCCCAATATCTTTCATGATCTACACATAGAGATACAGTATTCAGTCACTGCACTGCACATGCATATGCGAGCTAGAATTAGGAAAAACATTGTAAAATGTTAGCTGGTTTTCAAATATTCTTTCATCTTTTCGAGTGTAAAAAGTGCTAGCAGTTTATTGTACATCTACGTAACATAGAAGATAGCCAATGCGTGATAACGGTTGTTCTAACTTCAAGGACCACCCTAAGCTACGTATTAACCTGTTACGATAGTTTGCTCAGACCCCCCTTAGGCGTATTGGAATGTCGTAATCGCTAGACCATGCACTCATAGTATCAGTTATATTGGGGTTTTCTCTCAAATTTCGTTTGCTTTTGCTCCACTTTCCTCTCCTTCGTTTGTTTCTGCAAAGTTGAGCAAATATCGTAAGATAAGAAAAAGGCTGTACATGCGGTAGTGTAGGTTATGTACAGGTGGGTATGGTTTTGTTTCCTTCCATGCATGAACGCTGCTGACCCCCATAGAGCCTCTCACAACTGGACCGTTATCTTCAACAAAGCAAACGGTCCGATGGTTTAGATTGTTTGCTTCTTTCTTCGGCGTCTTTGCCAAGCCAAGCATTTTTGTAATCAGCCTGCGATTACATCGCATATATTATGTTCATTTGGTAAGAGAATTGAAATTATTTTTCCTTTTTTTTAAAAAAACGTTATAGCTAGGGTAGGAAGTAGGATTTGTGATCTCCCACCAGCATTACATATATGGTGTGAATTAGATCAATAAAGGACAGAGACCCACATGTTTCTGACTTAGTCTTGCTCAAGCGGTGGTCGAATGTGGACAGTCATTATAGCAGCCTCTTCAATCTATATAAAATTGGTGGCAGCGGTGGGATCATTGAAATAGGTTAAAATTGAATAGGTTTCGATGACAGAAATGTACGGAAATAACGTGAATACTTACAGTTTATCAACTAGGCTAAGAATGGCAAAGGTTTCATATATATTCCTATCTGTCGCATTGTGCGACAGATAGGTCCAGTTGGTTTGTATTTCATGTCTTTGCTCGTGGTTTTTGCTTCCTGGGTGGATGTAGGCAATTTCTTAATTCTGGTAAACTTGTCAAATGTATATATCATCTAAACTAAAGCCTTTGAAAAGCTAAGGCACACGCCTTTGAAAACTTGGTTCTACACTAACAGAACCTCTAATCCTATCAAGCTATTGTGACTGAAATAACAAGGTTTTGCCAGGACTAAACCCCCATAGTGGGCCCCGGTCTGCGTTTTGGTATGTTTCTTTTCATTCCTGAACATCTATTGCTGTTCTAGCCTTTATTTATTCATTTCAAAAACAACTAAAATTGGACTGCTGGCCTCTTTTCATTGAGGTTATGAGGGAAGAGGTCAGGGTCAAACAGAATATACCAATATACCAATGTACAGATTACATGATAAAGTCCTACATCCATAATCATACCAAGAACCTTTAAATAGATCTATTTGAAGCTCCTTGACCATATAGCCATTATATACTTAGTATCCTTACATAAACATGATATTACAACACCATGAAACATTACTGTGCAGGTTTTTGACAAATATTTCTGCCATTTGCCAAACTAAAAAGCTGCAAAACCTTTTGTCTTAGTAAAGGAGTGACGAAGTTTTGTTTTACACAGCCAGGGGTGTAGACAAGCGGTATTTTTTCTTGGTCATTTCAAAAACTGTACTAGGATGATAGAGAAAGGAATTGTGGCAAGACTAACACTGGGAAAAATGCATAACAGGTCCTTGGAAGAATACTGAAATTGCGACAAAATCGGCCATTACTAGATTGTAATACAAGAACTGTACAAACGTTACCCCCCCCCACTTCCCTGATCCAAAACTTCAACAAAAGTCTGTGTAACGTTCCCGTTAGAAGTGTTGACACAGACACAATATGGGGAACAGATCTTAACCATGCAAAACGCCAAAGCAAACAACTTCAGTTAGTCATCTCATATACCTTACTACCTCATACCCCTCCCACACCCTCAGTGTGTTTGTTTAACAAAATGTAACTGTATCTTTTTCAATAGCTTTTTTCCCGCGCACATGTTTCACAACATTTCTCTTTGTCAGTAAACTGTGCCGTACTTTTGGGGAGGTAAATTATCACGTAGAAAAGAGAAGTTTATTAGGAATGCGAAATGGTAAAATGATTTCGATATCATTTGATAAAATGATTGTTTGAAAGGATGACGTCATGTCTAAACATTGTGGGGTGAGGGTGTAGCGTGTAACCAAATCTGAGGTCAGCAACGGTCATCTCAAGGGCATATACCCCTGAAAAAACATGGCGGACGACTAAACGAAGACAATCAAAGCTTTCTTCTATTTATGGTAATTGTTAGCCACCATGGAGAAGAAAAAGGAACTTATTATTTTGTGTACTATCTGCCAAAAAATTACAGTGATGAAAAATGTACAGTAGACTGAATTTTTGGCTACTTTTTTGGCTGGAAATTTCATGTTGTCCTTGACACGCATCGCCAAGGTCATTACTTAAACAATAAAAAGTGGAACAGGTAGTGTCGTCAAGAGGCGGGTTGGAAAAATGAACGGAAACATTGATACAAAGTCTTTTTTTCTTACAAAGGCAACTCTTTCCAGTAGTATGATAGCAGGAAAAATATTGAACAAGCAAAAAAGTATGTATTCTACATCTATGCATGGACGAAAGCGTAGCCCCATGCGGTACTCTTGCTCATTGATTTAAAACAGTAAGAAAATAGAAATTAATTTTTTTTTTAATGCAGCCATGGTATTTCATTTACTAGGCTAAAGTCTGTACATCTCATATACTATTAACATGTACGTTTTGTACGTTTTTTTATATATCTTTGACGTTTTTTCTCATAAAGGTCCATAGAAAACTAGTGCTCAATCGAGAGGCTCTGGAAGGGGATTACAGGATGCCGGATGATTAGTGGTTAACATGGGGGAATTCAGGAAGCCGAGGAGTGCATAATTACCCCAATTTCGTGTTATATTTCAGTCGCTGCGGAGGACGTGAGCCACGAGCGGGGACAAAGCCACACGTTCGAGTGTACCTTCCCGATCAGCGCGGATAGATACATTCTCAACTGGTAAGGAAACAACGAGTCTTATGGAAATCAAGTGTAGCCTTTGCATACTTATTGAAGCAGCAACGTTGTTGTGTGTGTGTGTGTGTGTGTGTGTTTGGTTGTATGTGTCTGTTGTGCCTGTACGTAACTCTTATTATTTTTCTTCTGTCGTTTTTACAGGATGAAGAATGACGAGTCGGTCATGAATTACTTCACTGGCGACCCAGCTCCGACCTTCACCGGTGACCTTGAGGACCGCGCAGGCGTCAGTCTGGTAAACAGAAGGAATCTGGAGATCCAAAACCTTCGGTAAGTAGAAAATACAAACTTGCTAATAGTATTCACCAAGCAGAAGTTTAGTGAAATACAAAAATATGCTTTCTTTTGGTTTATAGCAGTAGTGGTCCTCGCAATAAGCTCTTGTGCTACACCAGAGTAGGGGGCGTTTCTACACACGGTGGTGCGTCTTCTTGGACGTAACGTTGTGCCGTTACTCTATGAACAGTTTATATATATATATATATATATATTATGGTAATAACAAGATTTATGTGGCCCCCTCCCCAGTTTCTGTAAGGGTATCACATCATGTTAGATGGTAATGTTGTCTGCACTCTTCTACAACTACTTCAACGGTAGCGTGCCAGAAATTCGGGGGGTTGTAAAAGAAACGTACAGCTAGTTTGGAAGGGACGAAGGGAGATTTTGTTACTGATATAATTGTCTTCGTCAGAAGGACTATGAAATTGTCTCGCCGGAGTGTGGGGAACTGCGGATTTTGCAATATAACTCTGGAAGGCATGATTCGACGTCCATGATTTTTGGCAGGCAGATTACCATTGTTGAGGCCAAAGTCGAGTACAAGTTTCGGCTTCGTGGGGGGTCCGTGCGTCACGTTAGTGCATCTTTTGTGTTTGTGGCTTGTTAGCAAAATAACTCAAGTATTTGTAAAATGTTGATTATAATTCTTGGTGTGGTGCTAACCATTGTCGGGACCAAGGTTAAATTCGTTACTGAGCTTCGTGGGGGGTTTCGTTGTGACCACAGGGGGCATTTTGTTAATTTTTCTTGTGAGCAGGATAACTTTTGTATGTGTGGATGGAAGTTAATGAAATTTGATAGGCATGTTACTGTGGTGGTCTCCAAGATTGAGTTCAAAGATGAGAGTCGTGGAGGTCGTTATGTCCCCGTAATAGGACCTTTTGTGTTTAGAAATCCCCCACCTACATCTGCTTGGAGACAGCCGACAGCTGGATATAGCCGTTACCGTCGGGGAACCCCATAATGGGATGGGATCAAATGACGTTACATTGAGGGATTGTACTATAACTTCAGCAGGGGGAGGATAGGTTGGACATATGTCAGTTTATTTTCTACGGTCACACCAAGTAATTGCTATGGATGACGTTTACTGGAGACCTTAAATCTAATTACCTTAAATTTAAGGCAAGCGCGCAATAAAAACACGAAAAACCGAAAAACGAGATGCCTAGATTTGGAATATACTAAATGTAGAAGTACAAATGTTAGGACACAAAGAACACAAGAAACAAGTCTTCTATTTGTCATAAAGACAAATTAACAAAACAGCAGTAGTCACCCTGTTCTGATTCTTTCCTTTATAACATCTTCTCTTATTATATTTTGCGGCGCTGTCGTGACACTTTCAATACAGTAAGAATTTCTTGAACGTTTTTTTTTTCAGTAACAGTCCAAACTCAAATAACGTTAGGGGGGGGGGGCTAACACGGGTGACGACGCATCTGTATAATCTGTGGCAAACCGTTTCAGGGTGTTCTGTACCATAAAATAGTGCAGAGATTCTTTTGTTCTTTAGACCAAATTGATTATTAAAAAGAGTGAAGAATACGCATGTTAATTTCTCTAGAACGATGTACCTCAGACGAAGACATGAGATCTCCGACCTCTAGTTCTATCTGTGTTTTCTCAGGATCTCTGACGAAGGGGAGTACTACTGCAGCGTAAGCGAGCTCGGAGAAGGCGGCCAGAGTGGCGATGGGATGCGGTACCAGCTGGTGGTGTATGGTGGGTAGTATTCCCTTGACCATGCCTCTCTTCCAATTCAGTCCTGCTGTTGCTACAAATCGCTGTGCTATTGTGTCATACAGTTAACTAATAATTTTACGAAAATGATACCATTTCATTCAACTAGACAAAATTGTGGATTCACTACTGAAAAAAGGACTACATCTGGATTTGTAACCGTTGATTGACCTTAAGGTCAAGTTGGCACTAAATGGTCTCCCTGAAAGCTATGGGACAATGAGTCCACCCACACAGCTACTGGAGGTATACCCACTTATGGGTTGTCATGCACAACAGTCTTACTACATGTACTAAGTGCATCAGACAATCTCATTGGCCGTGTCATAATTTTACAACGCACAATATTTTCTGGAGGTTTGACATATCCGACGCCTTAAACATTTATTTTATTACTCCTCTCAGTACCCCCTACGATCTCCGTGAGTGGAGGACCGTACGAGGCGGAGGTTGGAGGGAAGATGATGGTCACCTGCCGTGCGAACAGCCATCCCCCCTCCAACTTCACATGGACTAGTCCTCTTGGCGAAATATCACATGGGGCAGTGTTGGAACTCACCAACATGACCACAAACGATATAGGGAGGTAAGTCTTGTCTTTTTCCCTGCTTTTTGAAAAATCTAACGTTTCGTTATATATTCATAAATAAATATTGTGATCCGTTGCCGCCATATTGGTGAAGCACTTGTAACCAAGATGGCGACCGGTCATAGTGTCTATGAAGCCCCACCGTCGCCTAGCAACAATTGCCAAGTAACCCAATGGTACTTCCATCCTTTCCCAGGTACATGTGCATGGCAAACAACGGCTACGGGGTCGCCTCTGCGTATGTGGACATCTCCATGAAAGGTACAGCAAATCTGATTTTTTTTTCACTACAGCTTTCAATAGCCTCTTTAGCAGACTAGCGGATTGGGCAAACTAACAGAAATGCCAATACGAAACGACATACAATCAGAAAACTGCACAAGATAAGCCGAAAATGCCCAACCGTAAGCCTGCTTCATAGGCTATCTTATAACCAATTGCTGAATTGTGTGTTTCCTTGTGTGTTTTGGCTTTAACTACGTCAATTTTCAAATAAGATTTGGTGGTGGAGCTGATGCATTGTTAGTGGATTGTGCAGATTTGAGATGACAAAAATATTGAAAAAACAGTCACGGTCTTGCGCTTCCTTTCTATGCAGAAGCAAAAAATCTGGCAAATCCAGATAAATGAAGATCGGACATTCATGATTTAAAATTAAGTCATTTTTCATATACCAACATGGTGGACGCTCTGTCATGTTATGTCGTAAATACCTGCAAAAACACCTTTTGAAAATAGAGACGTGTAATATCTAGCTATAAATTCGACCACGCAAAATTTCACAATATGGGAAAATGTTTGATGCCCCAAATTCAACCTGTTGGTTTATGTTTATAGGAGAGATGTAAGATAAGTATTGACTGAAATTATCGATCAAACGATTAACAGGTTACGCCGCTCCATCCATGACGACTGAATCAGGTAACGTTAACATTACTTACCAATGGGACGCTTTCACTGACCTTCCGCCATCTTGAATTTCAAGGTCAAATGTGGTTATGTTGATAGGGGAGATGTAAGATAAGTATTGACTCTGAAATTATCGATCAAACGATTAACAGGTTACGCCGCTCCACCAATGACGACTGAATCAGGTAACGTTAACATTACTTACCAATGGGACACTTTCATTGACCTTCCACCATCTTGAATTTCAAGGTCAAATAGTAACTCGTTAGTTCTCATTGTAATATGAAAGAACTTGTCCTAGCAGGGCGTTAACTGTAGAAAAAATATTGACATTATGTTTTTCCACTTTGGGCAAACCAAAAAATGTGAAAAGTTTGAGATTGAGGTCGAAGGTTAATAAAAGCTGTTCACTGCACCAGAACGCATTAACAGAACCTGCTCCTTGGTTTGCTGTGTTGTTCGCGCTTGTTTGCGGTGCCTCCAGTTACATATACTAACCCATTTAAACCCAACCAGATCCATTGCTGTGCTTTGTCATCATTAGGTACCAGTGTTGGTATTAGGTTTTAGTATTAGCGTTCTTCTAGCATATAGAGCTTTGCTTTGTTTCCAAGCATCGTATTTCATCGTTTGGTTTTCTTATTCAAAAGCAAAGCAAATCAGGCTTTATAGTTAGAACACTCGCAAAAGTTTATTTTTTAAAAGCAGGCAATTGTAAATTTTGAAACAAATAGTAAACAGGAAAACGGATGGCAACGGCAGTGCAGAAAAAAATAAAACGTACATTTTTAGCTCATTTGCGCGGATGGAGCAACAACTTTATCCCATAATCCTTTTCGTCGACTCCATTGCATGTTGGGAGATGTAGGGTACTCTGGGCAGCTCAGGGCACAAATAAGTTCATCATTGCCATGGCAACATTTACAGGACTGGACAAACGCGTTGTCATGGCAATGGTGTTGCTTGCCCCATTCACTTGTGGGGGATAGAAAACATTTATGTTGCATTAGACCCAATAAATGGCCGTAGTCAGTCTGGCGTGGAAGCTTGCTCTGCGATGACCTCTCTTCTACCATCTCGCCCACGCTACATATGGTGGCAGCGGTGGGATCCAAGTCGCGCCATCGAAATATGACTGGTGCGCGTCTCCCAGCATGCAAAGGCATCCATGGAGTCGTAAATGGATATCACTATACATTGAGGTGGGCCTGAAGCACCCTAGGAAAGAAAGTCTACTATATCCTACATTGGTCCTTGCAAACTGCGTTGTGATCATCTTAGTTTTGAATTATCATTTCTCAGAACGAGTGGTGGGAGGAAGTGACGTCATGCGTGCCACGGGGCTTCCCATCATGCTCCTGCTCATCGCAAGTCTTCTGCTTCCGGTCTTCTTTTCTTGACGTCATCAAAATGGAATTCTGTGACAACTACAATAAAAGTAGTTGAAACTCTAACACATGTCTAAGGTCGAACCTCATGGCTTATACTAATGGCATTTCTCATTGAAATTCTCAGTTCAAAGACTTTTTTTAAAAACTGCAAAGATCTTTAACAACTGGAAGACTTCTTAAAACTTTAGCAGAGAATTCAACGACAAATGTCATCGGTACTTTAGCTGCTTTTGAACATGGCTTGCTTTTATGTTAAAAGCAGCTAACGTGTCTATGGTTTTCTTATTGTGATTTTACAATCTGCATACCCGGCCAGTTACTTTTACGGTAACATTTTTGTTCTCTGTAACAAGGAGGTTATACGTGTGTTATCTGCCCTGTAAACTCAGGGTTTGTTGTACTAGGCTGTCTTAGAAAAGACGTATCCGTCTGCGAATCTTCTGCTATGTTTAACTTCTGTGCTGTGACATTCTGTGATGTTTTCCTTCATTTGAATGCAGAAACAATTATATCCAGGTTTGATGTTGTGAATAATACCATTTTAGTGACATTAAATCGTACTATTCGTAGACTGGTTATGAGATTGTCTTTGAAAAGTTCGAAGTGTGTAGCATGTGTGATTTCAGAGCTGGATGTGACCTGTAGGATAGTTGATATTGTGTGACGAATGAAATCATGGTTTGTTCTACATTTCATTGTTTTATGCCACTTTCCTTGTCCAAAGAATACTGAAATTTCTAATAAACTGTTGTTTGAAACAGGATTTGCTTTTCTCCTCTTTATGCAATGTTCTAACACTGAGAGCGTTGTTTTTTAAAGAAATGTGATATTCTTATTACTTTTATAATCTTAATACTTATAGATATACATTTAATTGATTGAGCTTAATGATTCATTTGCATTTATATGCTACTGGTGTTAGGGCAAAGGTCACTATGTTATGAGAGCATCCAAACCAAATGTATACAGCCTTTTTCTTGGTATGTGTGGATAAACAATGATATTTCCTGGTTGAAGAGTTATTTCTCTCTCTATCTTGTTGAAGAAGAAACCTGGTTTTAGCTTCCCGGTAGAGCTTTAACAGTAAAGCTATGTTCTTGTGTTTTGGTGGTGTGTAAAAAGAGGTCAGAGGCCATACTCTCTCGTCGTACCTGTTTCCGATGATAGAAAAGTGCTCAGGTTTCTGGACTAAATTGACAATTAAGAGGTCGGACAACCCTGTCAGTGTTACCTTTCCATAGCTCAACACTCAGGTAGGTGGTTTTTGACAGCTTCTTTCTGGCATGTTTACCGTATATTTCTAAGAAAGCTTTCTATATTGGACTATCCCCTTAGCCATTTCAATTGTTTGCAAGCGGTTGTCTTTCTAATCGCAGTCGCTAGAGGCAACTTCTGCCCTGTAAGCCCATACTAGCACTTGGTATATCCATGGAGGTAGAAAACCTCCATGGTATATCCTGCGATATACATGTACCGTGTATTTCTAAGGAAGCATCCTATAGTAGACTATCCCTTTCGCCATTTCAATACATGTATTTGCAACGGGTTGTCTTTCTAATCGCAGCCGCTAGAAGGCACTTTTGTCCCGTAACCCCATACTAGTATTTGGTATATCCTGTGCCATACATGTACCTATTAGACGAAAGGTAGAGTGTGTACATGTATGATACAAGGACAATGGACATGAATACATGCCCTGGGGAAAATGCTGGCCAATGTTTTGACAACTCGGCCTTTTATAAACTGCACACGCAAACATGTTGACAGTTTCCTTATGTAAGTGCATATTTGCATAAAAAGACACAAAACCAAAACACTAGCTTCCTTTCCTTAACACAAGCCGACGTTTGGATGACCGTCTGTCATCTTCATCAGGAGTTATATGACTGGATTACTGTGAAATTCCTTTGAAAATAGTGTAAGCCATTAGTGTTTCAAGAGTGAGCACTTCCCAACATATCTGCTTGGAGATAATGCTATCACTAACAATCTACATATCGCCGTGAAAAGTACGTATTCCTAAACTTCCAGCTATCACAACACTGCCGCCCTGTTTATTGTTTTAACGGCGCCGCTCTTCAGGAGGTTTTGATGTGGAGAGATAGACGACAGGTTGGATCAGCGGCCATTTTGTTCCCGCCGCCATCTTGTTATTTTAGATCCGCCATGTTGTGATGACAGGTTGACCCGAACGGAGACACCTGTCACATGGTTCACATGCAGTGGGCTAGTCTCTGTAGCAGGCCAGGGTTGAACTGTTTAGGCCACACCAAGTAAATTCTATGGATGAAGTCCTCCTCAGACCCCAAATTTAATGCGATAGGGCGAAAAAAAAACAAGGCGGGTAAAAAAATTCCTACATTTTCAAAGTTTAACATCATAAACCTTATTTAACAAGAAATGATACCTATATTGTGCTAAGTTTATTGCCAACTATTACGACATCCATTTGTCACTGAAACAACTTTGTACAAATGGATCTGATTCGGTGGGAACATCACATACTAGTATTAAAGGAATGAAATACATCTATGCATCAAAGTACAAGACAAGACAATAAATCAGAGCCTTGTCTCACTTCATATCTATCTGCCATCCACGTACCGGCATGGCAACAGACATCTTTGCCCATTTTCGGCATGTTGACCACTGTGAGAGTGCGATAAAATTTCTTGTTTGTTTTTTTTCCAAAATCAAGCGAAAATTAATGCGCTGATGTCATCCATAAAAATTACTTGCTGTGGCCTTAGGTAAAATAGAAGGCTAAGTACATTTTACTGCAGAATGTTTTTTGTACGTTAGCTTCCCGAAGCCTGGTAGAGGCTAGGACCGAAACACTCTAAAGCTGGCCCGTATAGACTGATCTCCAGGCTATTCCTCTACAGATTACCAGAGATTTGAAACCTCCAACCCTAGCGGCCGGTTTCCTGGTACAAGTATATCGTTTTCACCTGTTCAAAGAAACAAACTTTATTGACATCACAAAAGTACGGCTGCTTCCGTAAGGACACCCACTGAACTGCACAGTACATGATAAAAATGTGTTACGACCAAATCAACATCTCTTTGCAGACGTGGGCAAAAATAAATTCCAACGACTAAGACATCAACGACTAAAAGTTGCAAAATGACGGCCCAAAAATCTGCTTGGAGATTAGTCGGATTCTTGTAATGTAAACACCAATGTTTTGCTGATGACAGCATCCAAACGCGTGCGTATCTGGCCTTACGATGCGGTCACATTTGTCGTAGCTCGTCGATCGTACAATTTTGATGCTTTAAAATTTTCATGCAGGTTGTGATAGAACTAACTAGCGACAAGAATTTAATACCGCCTTTTCTGTAACAAGACAATTGGGCACATATACTACTATGTATAAGAATGCAATTAGTTAGTGAGTTAAGAATGTGACAGAATCCTAACAAAAAGCTAGCCTCCTGTGCAGGCTCCGGGGCGGGTGGGAATTTTGATACAGCGTTTTGAAGAGGCGGAATGGAACCTTCTCTCGGCGGCTGGTTGTAGGATGACCGGCTATCAAAATAACGCGTTAAAAACTCTTCAAAACGCTGTGTTAAAATCCCCGCCCGCCCCGGAGCCTGCACAGGAGGCTAACAAAAATCCCAACTCTTTTTGGCGCGCTTGCATTGGGTCTCCTGAAGATGTCACCCGTAAAATTAAGAATTTATTGTCCGTCAGAAAACATGGCTTCCCCTTCCCACACACAGTCGTGTTGTATCCACGCCAACATGACATCATGGATGACTTAGCCTCCATCAGGCCTTTCTACGGGAATACGGATCGTAGAATTCGGCAAAAAAGGGAGTAAAATTGGCCAAGGGAGTCCGGCCGCGGGGAGGTAGTAGGAGAATATTTGCCAGGGGAGTTTGGCCGCCTTGTCCTTTATATACCCAGCGTAGTTAGTCTGGTAGAGACTACGGTTGAATACAGCCGAGCCTTTTGAAGAAGCGACCCAAAACACAACTCAGCGGGCAGGAATCCTGATTGTGTATGGTTGGGCCGGCGTGTGTATACTTCAGACAGGTGTCAACAGGAACTAGATAGGGGAGTACGCGTACATTATTCATGGAGGGGCTGTGGAAAGGTTGTTGCGGCGTGGTTGTACAGTCGTCGTAAGTTGTTCGTACGATTCAACCGTTGTACGATTTAACTGTCGTAGTCGGTGTGTGTAAACTTTAGGCAGGTGTGAACAGGAACTAGATAGGGGAGTACGCGTACATTATTCATGGAGGGGCTGTGGAAAGGGTGTAGTTGCGGTACGGTCGCACGATCGTCGTAGGTTGTCGTACGATTCAACTGTCGTAGTCAGTGTGTGTAAACTTAAGACAGGTGTCAACAGGAACTAGATAGGCCCGGGGGAGTACGCGTACATTCTTCATAGAGGGGCTGTGGAAAAGGTGTAGTTACGACGCGGTTGTACGATCGTCGAAGATTGTCGTACGATTCAACTGTCGTAGCTAGGATTCCATAGCCTCAACCAGGCTTCGGAAGCGGATATAATGTATATCGAGGGAAACAGTAGAAATTGGCCAAATAGACAGATATGACATGAACGGAGATTTGGTCCACTAAAGTAAATTTGCCGCACCCGTACCCACTCCTACGGCTTGCTATCTGTCTACTAGTATTTGGCCAATTTGTACTCTTTTCAGTCCCCTTCGAAGCTTACAAAGCCTAGTCGTAGGATTTCAAGCAGGCTATAAGGCCTTCAACCTTGATCCAGCAACGCGCGAATTTTCGAAGACTGGTAGAGACTAGACTCACCAAAATAGTGTAAAAATACGTTAAGTCTAAAGAAGTGAGGACGAACAATAAATGTACGTTCCAGAAGGCACGTATGCACATGTACCTGTTTAGTCTCTACCATACTCTTTTGCAGGCTTTTGCGGCATAAGCAGAATGTAGCTTGTCCGCCAAATCCCCTGGCGAGCTACATTCTTGCTTTTTAGGCCGAATTCTACTATTTATTCAGCCTGCACTAAAGAGTCTGTTGGAGACTAGACAGGTACGTGCCTTCTGTAACGTAGTAGTACCTGTCTCTGTATAGTGGGACAGGTACAGGTCTGATATCACTTCCGGTGTGCCCTAGGGAACATCTATTCTATTGTGTACGATGTTTATAGAACATAGGTAATGAGATATCAACGAGAAACTGTATAAACTACTGATAACATCGCATTTTTATGTACAGACTGAAGTGTCTACATGGGTATCAAATGGCAGACTTTTTTGTTGTTTCACAAATGAGGCCACAGCAAGTAAATTTTGACATCCCCGGCAGACTCCAAATCTAATGCGAGCGGGCGAAAAAAAAAAACAAGGCGGGCCGAAAAAAACAAGGTTCCCACATTTTCAAATTTTGACTCAATGGTTTTGATTCAGTGGGGACATCACATATACAGCCACCATCACATATCACTGCATCAAAGTTAAAAAACAACAACATTAAATTAGAGTCTTTTCTTGTCTCCTCTCTTCATATTCATCTGCCATCCACGTTCCGGCATGGCAACAGACATATTTGTTCATTTTCGACATGTTGACCACTGTCAGAGACAGAGGGCAACAAAATTCCTTGTTTTTCCCCCCAAATTAGGCGAAAATTATGTCATCCATAGAAATTACTTGCTGACTTGGAAATTGCCTGACTTGGTTTCACACGACTGTTTGGATTGGAACTTTTGCTGGAAAATTTGGTGGAAAATTGATTTGAAACACACTATTTACTTTGTTTGCCAGTCTATTTTTTGTGTATCCAAGAAGGTTTTCACCAAAACCAATGAGGGTCCTTTTCAACCTCCATGTCTAAACTTTAAAAAGTCTTGATTTCCGTCTTGCTTCTCTCGATAGTGCTCCTAAATTTTACACAATAAGAAAAAAAGCACAAGCCCGTTAATCTGCCAGGCCAACTTGCAACAACGCGCGGGTTTAAAAGCAGTAAAATTTTATAGCCAAATAGGGGGAATTTATCCAGGGGAGTTCACCCACAGTAGAGTTCATTGGACAATTATTCTTTCCTTTTTAAAAGCTTTTTTTTTCCGATCCGTAGGAAGGCCTGGTGGAGGCTACTGCAGGCTTACAAGTAGACTGTAACTTGACCACAGTTGAAACCGTATCGGGCATTGTGTTTCATTGCAAGGTCTCATATAAACACTAAAACTTCTCTTAAATTAATATAGCTTTGACTTTTACGGTGACATACCGCTATTTCAAAATTATCGATATTTAAAACTTTCCTTTATCTGAAATGACAAGTCCTTTGCAGTTGACACAAGGAATGATATGGCTTCTTTACGTCCTTATCCAAGAAGTTGAGAACAATGCATGAGAAGTGCAAATATTTAGAATTTTGAGTCAACACGATAAGTGCCTCATTACGAAAACCAACATATCCTTCTATAAGACCACACAGAGATGTGACTCCACGCGGCGTTGTAGCCTCTAACAGGCTTCGGGCCGGCTGAAAAGATTAGAAATTGGCTAAATAGAGAGATACTAGTAACATGCCGAGGGAGTCGGTCCGCTAAAGAGTACATTTTGCCTTCTATTTTGTTCGGGTACAGCAAAATGTAGCCTCTACGGTCTACCAGGCTTCGGGAGGCGGCTGGAAAGAGTAGAAATCGGTCAAATAGAGAGATATTAAACATGACGAGGGAGTTGGTCCGCTAGAGCTCTTTCCAGCCGCCTTCCGAAGCCTGGTAGAGGCTAGGCAAAATGTACTCTCTAGCTCTAGCGGACCAGCTCCCTCGGCATGTTATCTCTCCATTTGGCCTATTTCTACTCTTTCCAGCCGTCCCGAAGCCTGGTAGAGGCTAGCGTCGTGGGCCGATTGTTTCTCTCGGTCACGTCATGTGACACTGTGGGAGAATTCTCTGAGTCAACATCACACTGAGGTGTCAATCAAACAATCCTCGCCGTGACGTCAGCAAATATGTCCTGAGCGGGGGAATCAGTGTAAGATTTACGACGAAATTATCTCGTAAATCACGCTTAAAGAATTTGTCTCGTATTACAAGTTTAGAGTCTAGGGCTTACAGCAATATAATAAATGAAAGACCTTTATTGTACATTTTTGCTCATTGAGAACTAAGTACAGGTCATGGTAAATAGAGATGGTAGACTAAAATATATCTATAGTAAAACTACATATGTACAGGTTCTGCTTCTTCTCGCTTCTTAAGACAGTTGTAAATGTAAGAACAGATGGTATGGCCTCTACAAGGCCTTCCTATGTGGTTATGATATGGATTGCAGAATATTCGGTAAAATATGGTCGATATTGGTCATGAATTTAATGCTCTATGGTGGTGAAACTCCCATACCAAATTATTCTAGATATAAGGCTGAATTTTGTGATTTTTTAGTCCAGTTGTTAGTCCGGAAGACTACCAACAACAGAGGCAAAAAATCAAAAGAAATCTAGATAAAGTTCGTCGCTGAATTTGGGCCATAGACTCTTTACGATCTTGGTTTCAGGCTACGATACACTAAAGGAACTAGAATATTTCCCGGAGCAAACTTTAACTTTGCAAGACGAAAATGTCACAAAAAAGCCCTTTGCCAGGCTAACCTTTGGGATACTTCTAGTGAGTCCATACCAAACTGGGAACACAGATATACAGTGTTCTAGACGGCCCGTGTTTGGGCATATCTTTACGAGATTAACGACTTTGAGGTCGTTAAAAAGTCTGTTTCCTCACTCCTAATTTCCCCTAATATCTTACAGCTCTCTCTTCCCCTCCCTACACTTATCGTCAACATGACATGTCGTCATCGATACGCCCACAAGCCCCTCCCACAACGCCTTATTTGGTAGCAGACAGACAGTGTGGTGATCTGTGAAGCCCCGCCTACTTCCATATAAGGCCGGGGATGTGCAGGTTCATTGATTACTGAGAGCTCACTTCTACCGTAACACCGGTTGGGCGTAGACGTACTTCAGACGACAGGCGCAAACTAGACCGCGATTTTTCCCTCAGAGCATCGCTACACTTCCCGCCAAAATGATGTGGGGTCTCACCATCGCCTTCTTGGCAGTTTCAGCAGGAATTTCAGGTAAGAATGTTTCTAGTTTCATATTTCTGGACGTCTTTGGGCCTGGCTATAGGATCAGGTGTACCATACACCGGTGTGTATATGCAGGGCGATACCATTCAGATGCACAGCAGGGGGGTGGGAATGGTGGCTCATTGTGACAATACAAACAGCCTTCTACACACAACGTCGTTGGCTAGAAAAACCAATCTTGTTTGACATTTGGCCACACAGTGATCCCAAAGCCAACACGACTGTTTTAAGACAAACGCAAGACATGGACCTTATCTTGCGAGTCAAACATTTGTGATAGGCGCTGCGTTGGTTGAACAATTTCTCTGTCTCCTAGCGCTATCCAGTGTACAAATACACTGTTATGCGAAACTTGTTTTGTCCAAGACACGTTCCACTAGAATGTATCGTGACAACGGTGTATTTCCTTCGCTAGTGACAGCACGAACCCAACAAAAATACAACAATCTTACGATCTAAACACAACAACATGTATGTAGTTGTCTGGAAATGACCGTGTATTACCACTAATGACTTCGTCTGGAAAGTCACAAGGGAGAATAGACAACTTGTCAACTTGAAAAGTCGAGAAATTCAGTCCTTGTTAGCCTCGTTGACAGCCAGCTTTGTGGCACTTCTTTATACCAATAACAGCATAGCCTAGAACTCCAGGTGGCAGTGGATAAAGATATGGAAAACTCGAATCGTACACCTGTAATATAATTTAGCGGTAACAGCCCCAAAATGTGCGTGATCATGTTGTTACTCACAGGTAATCTCCAAGCAGATCTTTCGGTGGCAAGACAGTATCCATTGGCCAGAGGAGTGTCCATTAGCTAATGGACACTCCTCTGGCCAATGGATACTGTCTTGCCACCGAAAGATCTGCTTGGAGATTAACTCACAGGATATCAAGAACCCAAAACAGGAAGTTTAACCATTCTCGGAAATTGTACTACAATATATGGTGAGTGTAGGGTTAGGTATTGCAAGGCGATGGATTGAATATCCATGACTAAGAATTACAGCATTTGTTGCAGCGTACTGTACCTGTATGATTAAAAATGGTAGTTATACTAGTACTAGTATATCACAGCGACGTATACATTCGAAGTTGGACTGGTTAATTGAACCGGCTAACTCTTGCTAATTATTGTCCCGATTTGGCCGATTTGTACTATTCTCTTGTCTCCACTGGCTAAAATAAGTTGAGTTAATTTATCAAAATAGAATAGCTTGAAATGGGAATTTTGCCAACGCATGGTTTCATTTCCGCACAGTTAGTAGTGAGTTACTATAATTTCCAAGGGGAAATTTTATCCTTACCGTAGGCTCAACCATTTTTTGCCGAATTCTACTGCCCGTAACCCCTAAGAAGGCCTAGTGGAGGCTACTACACTTCGACCATCCCACGGAGCCTGGTAGAGGCTATGAGTGCCCTACAAGTGTATACAGACTGAAACCCTACACCTGTATACACCACGGCGTGCCCCCGGGTATTCACTCAGACCTGTACGGGGCGGGGCACCTGACCGCCCGAGCACTCTCCCGCTGGCTCCGATCCACTGACAACATAGAAAAGCCCAAATCCGGCCAATTACGAAGTTTGCTTAGCCCAACGCCCATGAAATCGGTTTAATCCAAGGCACAAAGACAAGAGTTAAAGATTTTGAATCAAGAACTGCTCATTTTAAAAACTACAAGGAAGCAAAGACTAAAGAATTGTCAGTTTGTATAAAAGTCGGTAGTTCAAAGCTGTTTTGCTATGTTGATGTTTTACAGTGTTGTGTACTTACGGTGGATCAAAGTTACCACTTGTTGGTTGGTGGAGAGCGCTGTTTTTATAAGCACATGCTTTTGTATCCAACCCGCAGCGCGTGCCTGTTATAAACTTCGCTACAAACTCTAGTGGTGGTGCGCGGTCTTTAGAAAAGGTTGACAGAAAAGGGTTGTAGGCAGGCTGTGGCGATGTTGTAGGCAGGTTGTGGCACTTGTCGTAGGCCGTCGTACGATTTTGATGCCGTGAACATTTTGAGTAGGTTAATCAGAACCAACCACCGACAACGATCAAGACAGTCTTTTCCGTAATATTTGTAGCCACACATTCTAATATCATCATGCAGTTACTGTAATGTAAGATTTCCATAGGTAAGAATGAGTTTTATTAATTTATCGTGTAATGCTTGTTTCTTTCATGGAGTTACACAAAATGTCAACTTCTTCTTATCTTCAGAGTGACCGGTATCGCTAGCTGTTGTTGTTTTTGCGGTGTTGTTGTTGGTGTTTACATGATACTCTACCTGCCCGGCCGGTGTCCTAGGATCGCCCTAGCCTGTGCGGGTTGTACAATGTGCCCAACAGAAGCGTGTTTCTCTCCTCTCGGCATGACTGACAGTGTTTGACACCCCGGCTTGTGCTGGGAGCCACTTGAGTCCTTGTTAATGGGCGGAGCGCGAAACAAGAGACCGTGTCCGTTCAGGTTTCCAACCTCCAAAAAGCAGGCCCGGTTTGAGTCGAAATTTCACCGCCTCTTCTTGTTCTCCCGTTCTGCTCGAAGTCTTTTGGTAAATTTTACAGAGAACAGGAATCGTCAAGGTCGTCTTTTTCTTGATAGTTCTCAGAAAAATGGACATATCCAGGACTTAAAACAACGATATAAGTATTTATTGTATTGTACGTACTTTTTACTGTATTCTGATTTTTTTATTACATGTACCATCAATCAGGTATAGGCAACTGTCTGAACTGGGCACAATGAGAGTATAGTGAAAAAAAGAACTTATAAACACATAGAAAAGCCTTGCCAAGAAGACTGGTACGTAGGCTACAGTACGGCCTGCCGTCCAGACTATCACGTTTCTAGCCTCTACCAGGCTTCGGGAGGCGGCTGGAAAGAGTAGGAATCGGCCAAATAGAGAGAGATAACATGCCAAGGGAGTTAGCCTAGCCTCTACAAGGCTTCGGGAGGTTGCTGGAAAGAGTAGAGATCGGTCAAATAGAGAGATAACATGCCGAGGGAGTTTGTCCGCTAGAGAGTACATTTTGCCGCACTGGGGTAGAGGCTATCACGTTTCCCCACGTGAGAGGTCCGTCCTTGTTGTACAGCAGCACCCAGCCGTGCCCCCGGCTCCACCGGCCGGTAAACACGCATTGTGCCGGGCGGTGTGACGCGCCGGGCCGCCCCCGACACGCTTTACGGCGGATGCGCTTGAAAAGTGGACACATACCTGTAACCTGGTGGGGCATGGGCCGAGACAGGCTGACTCAGCTAGCGGGCCCGAACAGGGGCCGGGCGGGCTACCTGTGTGTGGGTGTCACGGTTAAGGAGCTCAACCATGAGAACGTTCTGCAATAATCTGTCCGTACTGCTGTTCTGCTAGGTTTATGAATTGTTTAACTTAAAATGGGACTTTGTACACTAAATCCTACAGGACTGTACGTCTGGTTCTGACAACATGTTAAATTTTCTAAACTTGTGTCCAGTGATCAAAAGAAGCAAGCATAATTGTTCAAAACAGTGTCATATTCGAGGTTTAAAATTACTGACGTTTCGCCGGGCCCCTATCACAGTTGGAACGGGTTACATGTAGCTGTAGCCCGACTAGAAATCTCGCTTCTATATATAATATATCCATTCCACTGGTCAACTGGTAAGGGGCTTCAAAGAGCTTTTTTACAGTGAAAATTTGTGTTACACATTCAAGCTACAAGCTACATGTCTGTATCAGTGTATATTTGTGTTACGTTGGTATAGAGAAGCTTGCAAATTCACCGAGTAACCTTTTCAAGTTTATTATAATCTTTATCATACCTTTACCGTAGTTTACGAGTCACCTTTACGTGTTGTCTTTAGATGACAGAAAAGGTTTTAAAATTCACATATATATAGACCTCAAACCCTTTCACAAACATTGTACAGGCCCAGAATTGCTGATATATGTACTCTACAACCTTACAACGCAAACATGCCAAATTAACTCTCTCAACCCTACAACAGTCGACCCAAAGAACCGAATATTACCTTTTGTGAAAGGTGTTTCACCTGGCAGAATTAGGACTGACAACGGGTTACCTGTGCTACCGTTAAAGTGTTGACAGAGTACAGCACTTAGGCTACCCGTTTACGATTTAAAACACAACGTTTTCTGTCACTCTAAATTACACCAACCACCTGTTTCAATACACCCAGATGTTGAAGCCGTATAACTTCCATCCGGGACGGTATCAAATCGTGGTAGTATTTTATAAACAACATTCACAGTGCCCCCCTCCCCCACGCAAAAATGTAAACTCAGTGACAATATGTAAAGATTAGAGGAAAGGACTTCACATTTGGTATGTCAATAGCCCTCGAACGGCGTAAACTCCTTCTGTATTTAACTACACCAACACACCGGGTCCAGGTAAACATTGGAAGAGTCATCAATAAAGGAGTGGTCAGAGGGTTGGCGATCTGGATCGAGCAAAGGAGAAAGAAATTTGCCACCTAACGACCTGGTCACATTTGAAGTACGCTAAAACCATGAAAATTACCTCAAACGTATCCACTGGAACGCGTCTGTATCGTATGTTAGTGACATTTCTTAGCGTTTGGTATCAGTCGTGTACTTTAAACATCTAGTCACCACGCTAAAAACTTCACTTCCAAAACATGAAAATTACCTCAAACGTATCCACTGGAACGCGTCCGCGTTTGGTACCAGTCGTGTACTTTTAGCATCTAGTCTCCACGCTAAAAACTTCACTACCAAAACATGAAAATTACCTCAAACGTATCCACTGGAACGCGTCAGTATCGTATGGTAGTGACATGCCAGATTTCTTAGCGTTTGGTACCAGTCGTGTACTTTTAACATTTAGTCTTCACGCTAAAAACTTCACTCCCAAAACAAACGCAAAGAAATCGTAATAAGTTGATATAACTTGTGTGCGCTGCCACCATGTCTAGTCATGAAATGTTAGAATATTAAAAAAAAAAAACAAAGAAATCGACTAAAAAGAGTGTATAT